TATGCCTTACCAAGGACTGATGAAATCTTAGAAGCTCTCTCTAATAACAAGTTCTTCACAATACTAGATATGAAGAGTGGCTATCACCAGATAGAGGTCTTTGAGAAACACAAGGAGCGGACAGCGTTCACCGTTGGTCCCCTTGGCTTTTACGAGTTTAACCGGATGCCATTTGGTCTATGCAATGCTCCGGCAACTTACCAAAGACTCATGGAGGAAGAATTTGACGGATTACATCTCAAGATTTGCTACATCTATCTGGATGACATCATTATTTTTTCCAACACATTTGAAGAGCATCTTGAAAGACTAGAACAGATATTTCAGAGGTTAAGACAGATTAACTTGAAATTATCTCCTAAGAAATGTGAATTCTGCAAGAAAAAGGTCAAGTATGTAGGACATATCGTCTCAGAAAATGGAATTGAACCTGACCCAGAAAAGATCCAGAAAGTTAAAGACTGGCCAACACCTATTAATTCAGATCAAGTTCGACAATTTTTAGGCTTTGTTGGGTATTATAGAAAATTTATTAAAGATTTTTCAAAGATAGCTAAACCTCTCACTAATTTAATTCCAGATTCCTCAAAGAAGATAAGGAGAAATTCCAAAGCTACAAAGACATCACCACCAAACTGGCACTGGGAACAAGAACAAGACATTTCTTTTCAGAAATTAAAAAATTGTTTAATTCACTTTGCAATTTTAGGTTTTCCCATATATGGTCAACCATTTGAGATCCACACAGATGCATCCCAGAAAGGATTAGGCGCCGTGTTGTACCAGCTGCAGAACGGACAGAAACGAGTCATTGCTTACGCAAGCAGAGGTCTTTCTAAATCTGAAAAAAATTATCCTATTCACAAACTTGAATTTTTAGCTCTTAAATGGTCAATTTCAGAAAAATTTTCAGATTACTTGTATGGAACAACATTTGATGTAATAACTGACAACAACCTATTGACATACGTCTTATCTACTGCAAAGTTGGATGCTACTTCTCAGCGATGGATTGCTTCTTTAGCCACCTATGACTTTAATATTTTTTACCGCCCTGGTAAAAGCAACGCAGATGCCGATGGACTATCACGATTGCCTGAAATTTCAGATGTTCGTGACAGAGAACAGATTTCTGTTGAAACAATTAAAAGTATTTGTAATGTTCATCATGCCAATGTTCCATTTATTGAATGTTTGTCTATTTCACCAGATATTACTGACAAATTAATTCATTCAGATCTTTCAAACTTTTCAGATTTCAACATCAAAAGAGAACAGTGTAAAGACCAAAATATTCGTTTTTGGTTTTCTCAGGTCAAAACAGGAATACCTCCCAGAAAAGAGAACCTCCCCAGCAGCAACATTCCATTTCATTTAGCTATGCTCAGAAATTTTGATAAATTTTATATTAATGATGGAATTCTTTTCAGAAAAACAAGAAATGGTGAATCCATGAGACATCAACTTGTTTTACCACTCTCTTGTAGGAAAGCAGTTTTCAAATTTTTACACAAAGATATGGGACATCCTGGTAGAGAGAAAACAACAGCCATTATTCAAGATAGATTCTACTGGCATGGAATGACTAGGGACATCGAACGTTACATCAAGTCATGCAACAGATGCGTTCTACGAAAAGCTCAAACAGAGAAAGCTCCCTTGATAAATATTACAACTTCCCAACCCCTTGAGCTACTGTGTATAGATTATTTGACTTTAGAATCTTCCAAGGGCAATTTTCAAAACATTCTAGTAATGACAGATCACTTCACCAAGTATGCCCAAGCAATCCCCACTAAGAACCAAACTGCTAAGACCACCGCAGATGTATTATTTAACCAGTTCATTGTTCATTATGGAATTCCGCAGAAAATCCATAGTGATCAAGGAGCCCAGTTTGAAGGAAAAGTGATTGAAGAACTATGTAATATCATGAACATCCAGAAGTCCAGAACTACACCTTACCACCCGATGGGTAATGGACTCTGTGAAAGGTTCAACAGGACACTTCTTCAAATGTTAGGGACTTTGAACATTGATCAGAAGAAAGATTGGAAATCCCACATTGGACCATTAGTTCATGCCTACAACTGCATGAAGCAAGAATCAACTCAACATTCACCATTTTTCTTAATGTTTGGCAGACAACCAAGACTTCCAATTGATATTGCTTTTAACATACCAACATCTTCTTCAGAAATGCCAATTCCAAAATATGTTGAATCATTAAAGTCCAGATTAAAAGAAGCTTACCAATTAGCCACAGCAGCAAACCAAAAAGCTCAAGAAAGACAGAAGCGGAACTATGATTTGAAAGTTAGATCAGCTATTCTAGAAAAAGGTGACAGAGTTTTGGTAAAGATAACAAGCTTTGATGGAAAGCATAAACTAGCTGACAAGTGGGAATCAACACCATACAGTATTATAGATCAACCAAATTCCGCTATTCCAGTTTATGTCGTAAAAGAAGAAGGTTCTGACAGACAGAGAACAGTACACAGAAACCTTCTCTTACCTATTGGAAATTTGGATTTCCAACCAACAGAACCAAGAGTTATAAGACCTACTCCTAGACCCAGAAAGAGATTACCAATAAAGACGAAGAAAAACACACCGGATACAAAAGATGAAAGCGACAGTGACAGCAGTGACGAAGAAGTTATATGGACCGGTCCACGTCCACCAAACCATGTTGAAGGAAACAGTACTCCTTTAAGTGTTGGTACAGATCAGACTGACGACGGTCAGATCCCAGCTGGCTGGACTGAACCAACACATGAAGACACAGATGCGGGAGAGGACGCTCTCACTCTTGAAGATAAGAGCAACACATCTGATGCTTCCCAGAATTGTGAGCCAGAGACTGAAAGTCTTTCTCTGCAAGATGAGGATTCACATGTTGAAAAAGCAGTCGAAGAAGCTAAAGTTGTTGAAGAACAACAAGAAGCTGATGATGAAAATGTAGAAGCTGCCACTCAAGAAGAAACTGAAACTGAAAATCAAGCTGCAGGTATCCAGACAGCAGATTTGCCCAAAGAACCTGAAAAGCCAACAAGACCAGTAAGAGCGAGGACTAAACCAGCTTGGATGAAGACAGGAGAATACTCTATGTCCGTACAACCTGCTAAAGATCCAGATTGGATATTAAAATGTAATTATTTAAAATCTCTTGTTTCAGATAACCATCTCTCCGGTGTAGACCAGAAGCAGCTGTCCTCTACTTTCCTTGAAATCCTGTTGCAGAAATGATTTTTTATGACTGATAATTCACTTTGATTTTATTTTTAACTTTCAGATTATTCATTCGCACTTCTATAGAGATGAGATGACGAGGACGTCATTTAAAAGGAGGGGAAGTGTGTGATAGTATTGATTTTATATTGATTTTAATTTATTGTATTTTTCTTTCAGATGCCATTGAAAGTTATAAAATAACTTTCAATAATAAACTTGATTTAAAATAAATATGTTTTATATAAACATTAATTTGTAACAACTTTCTATAATTAAAGTCTAGAAATCTCTAGAGCCCTAAACTTAAAACTTAACTTTTAACCTTGAATAAATACATAAGTAAAAATAGCCATTGGTCAATAATTTCCCGCCAAAACCTTTGACCCCCTTTGTCCAGTGTGTCCAGCTAATTACTAGCCCAGGAGCAGTCAATGTGTATAGTTGTGTTTTTGTATTTTTGGAGAAATCTTTAAGACCACTGACAGTAAGTTGACTTTTTGACATTCCTATTTCATATTAATACTTTCCTATTAATTACTGAATGAAAGAGGCATATGAGAGAATTTATTAAATTATATAAGTTTGTCAAAAGCTGATAAACTAGTTGATTTTAAACTTTGTAATAAATGTATTTTATGACACAAAGAATATAATATATAGTGTATGGATGTTATTTATAAATTGTAGATATTGATAATCCATAAGCCATACACACAATCATGTATTAGAGAGGGATTCATACCCATAGTCTGGTATGTTGCTATATGTACATAGAGCAAGTATATTAATTAATTGTAAATAGTCATTATATCCACTATTATGAAGTGAATAAGAGAAATATCATTTGTATATTTAAAGTCAAGAGGTATAACTCATTGATATGTGTCAATATTTAATATTTTATAATCTAATTAAATATATAGTAATTATTTGATTTATGATGACAATAGATTCTGCTGTTATATGTGATATCAACTTGAGTAAATGTATTTTATATTATTTTGCAGAATCTGCTTTATGATGATGCATTTGGTATTTATGCAACTGTAATAAACATCACCACAGTCAGTGAAACATCTTGTTTTCAATTGCTGCTCCTGCTACATTAATGTTTTACATGCAAAGATAGATAACTCTTAGTTTCTTAACATTGAACGTCATAAATCATCGGGCTCGGTGCTTAAAAAATTCTTGATAATTCTTGTATGCGCATGTCTTCTAGAATATTCCTTTCGAATCTGTAAATTGAACGAAGCAGACGCAAAGATTTTTTAAAAGAATTAATCGATCATCATCTGCTGATTTATTGTCTAATACAAGTAAATATGTTACGTATATCAAGAGCTTCGAAGGCCAGGAGACCTTATTCCAGAGAAATCACAAGAAGTTCCGTATCCAGACCTAAAACATAGAGTAGGCCTAGCTGTAGCAACTCATGCACCGCCACGTCTTGAACATGATGTCGCCATTGTCGAGCAGGCACCTGACTCAGAGTCACTGTAACTTCCTTAGTTTCCCTGTTACCTGCTATTCCAGCTCAACATAATCGAGGTACAGTTCAATTTGACCTAAATCCTTTTATAAATTATCATATTTTTAATTTTTACGAATTTCCATACAATGCGAGATTCAAATGACGTCATACTTGTTATCAAGGGGAACCCTATGCATGTTTTCTGACAAAATATGACCCCTTTTTCCACCATTGCCATTTGCCAAAACCAATATCGAGTGAGTTGTGTATTTCTTAGCTATTCCAGTTGACGCCATTTTGATCTTAAAATAGTAACAACCGGAAGCACTGGGTAGCCATTACTGCATGCGATTTGTGGAAGGATATTGGATCCTATAGTTAAATCGTGGTAAGTAGTATTTAATGGACTTTGTTGTTGATGACAGTGATGTGTAAGGTATTTTTGTGTTTGGATATAGTTTGTGCTTTGTCAAAAAGATGATAAAACCAGTTCATTTATTTTAAATCGATGAAGAACAAGTAAAGTATATTTGCACGAGAAGGTCGCTGCGTTGGTATTTTCTTTGATTCCTTGGCATCATGAAGAAATATCACAGGTGTAAACATTTTAAATGAATATTTTAATGCTATTAATCTTTATTGAACTGTAAAATATTTTCTGTAGCATTGCACATTTTCCCACGTATTTTTTAAAGAATAGGAAGATTGGTCAACACAGAATGTTTCTGTAAATCGAATTACCTGCCTTGATATAGTCTATTTCTTTTTCGACTAATCAAAAGAACATGTATTTTTACATACATATGGATGTAAAGGAGGCAATTGGACAATGAACTTCTGAATTAAAGTTACTATAAATATTTTTTTCTAATTTTAGAAGTTTACAAATTACAGACATAGCAGTGACACAGTGAGAAATTTACAGAGTGACAAAGTGACTGAAATTTCCATAGAAGGTAAATACATATTTTATCAAGAAAGCATTAACTGCTTTTATATGTATCATATTTTTATTTAATTTTTTTATTTTCTGTCGTTCACTGTCTTTGTCTTTTACTTTTAGTTAGAAATTATGATGATAATAAAATGTTTACACACAATGCACAATATAACACACAAAAAAAGATAGAAGACTGAAGTACATATACATAGATGACTTAAAAAAAGGAACTTTTAGAAGTCAATTCAAAATTAAAGGAAAGAAGCATATTACTCATTTATTAAAGTAAAGTCTTTGCTTTATTATCAAAAATACTAGGAATGGTCAAAAAAGTCAAAAAATTTCAAAGACTGAAAAGATTGAATGTAAAATAATTTATTAGAATTGTAAAAATGGATATTATTGAATTCTTTTCAAGGTGTAGAAAGTCACAAGATTTCATTTTCTTTCAATTTACTATTTCACCATTTTATTCAACAATTTGAATATACATCAGTCGCATTCATCACTGTCTTATTATTAACGGTAATATGTTTATGTCTATCTTGTGCATGTTTTAAAGGGTCACTGTCATATCGTCCCAAAACCTGAACGCCCCACGCATGATCGCCTCAAAAAAATTTTACCGACGCCCAAGTACAAATATGAGCACCCCAAATATTAATTAAGAGCGCACCAAACGTATTTCAGGAACGCCCTAAATTAAAATTTCAAGCGCCCCAAATAATTTGGTCACAGATACACATGCAGGTGCTCGTCTAAATATTAAATTGTTTACTTTTTGTTCTTCAAAGAAATCTGATGAAATATTTTTTTAAATTATCAATTTTTAATCGCGTAATTAAAGATAAGAGTGCAGTTATTTGTATTAAAGTCAGAGCACGACCGTAAGTCCAAACAAAAGGAGACACCCCCCCCCCCCTATTTTATCAAATGCCGGCTATATCAAGAAATTTGAATTAATTTGGCGATAAAGCATGATAATATTGGGGGGGGGGAATAAAACAATAAAGTCTTACAAATTGTGATAGTTGCTTGACCAAATCTGTGTCATGAAGTCTATGACGTACAGTATTTTTTTCCTTTGTGAAAATGCAGATAAGTGCTTAAAATGCGTTTATGTATTTATTTTTGTTATTAATTTCTAGATGTTATCATTTTAATTTACACGCATGATCCGTCTGTGCATGTTCAATATATAATTCACAGGAAAAGATGACCAGTATAAGTCGTCGAAGGACCAGAATTACGGTGTATGTTTGTTGAATTGGGTGTCTGAAATTATGATTACTGTGTATACACAGACTACAAATCCCACTGATCTAGTGACAGGTGTGTAATATTATGTAGCATTATATAATCAGGTACACAAGAAGCAACGAAAACGCGCGGCACGTGCACTATACTAAGGATATACTGCGATTTTGAATCTAATCTACATCATTAAACTTAACAACAACAAAATTAATAGATGGATGACTTTGGGTAGGTTAAATGATGTTTAATTTTTTTTATTCTTATAATTTTTATTGTATATTTACTACTGACAGATTCTAAATAAATTTCGTGACTCTTATTAAAAAAATTGCAAACTACTTAGACGATTTTAAAAAAGTTGGTACTTGGTATCTTGAATAGATTAATTAACCAATTTACAGGACATATAAGCTATAAGACCACATCTTTCTACAATGAATATGACAGCTAGTCTAAAAACTTTTCTGGTTATTATTACATAGTTACTGCAGAAATACACATCGGTGTTTAAGTTTAATCTATTCGTACAGTGTATTTCCTCATTGTAAGATCATTATTAGCACCAAATAAATCAAAAAATTTTAAAATATCAAAATAAATTACGGTTCGGGAATGCAAATATAAATATGAATTCCATGTGTTTAGTACGTTTACATTTATCTTCATATAATGCTACTTTACAATTCTTGGGGCGTTCATTATTATACATCATAAAACTAGAAGCACTGGTGATAAACAACCGATAAATATATAATACGGGAAGCTTGTGAATTATAATATATTTTTTAGTCTATTAAATTGTAATAAAACATGCATCAAAGACAACAGTTTGGTTATTTACTACTTAATTTAAGCCTTGGGGCGCCCGAAATGCTAATTTGGGGCGCTGGAGAAATACGTTTGGGGCGCGTGTGATTAAGATTTGGGGCGCTCATATTTGTACTTGGCGAAGGTAAAAAATTTTAGGGCGTTCATGCATGGGGCGTTCAGGTTTTGGGGCGCAATGACTAAGCACCCGTTTTAAAATGTTCTTACATTGTTTATATTAATGATTTTGGTGTAAAGCATGGTAAAGTGTATTGCCTAAATGTTCATTTGAAATTTATGTAAGATATATATAAGTTATAATATTTATAACTGTATCAGCCATACTTATAAATTTTATATTTATTTTATCACTTACTTATTGTTAATAAGATCTATGAATTATATTTTACATTGTATACTTGTTTCATAAAGTAAAGAGCTGATAAGAACAGGATTATAATTCTCTAAACAAACGATATTTTAGGTTGTGTACTGGGATGATATAGATTGGAAGAATGACAGTGAGTTTCAGTTAACTGAGAGAGATCAGAGCTGAAGATTATTTACTATTTGAGAAAAAGACTATAGAAGGTATGAAGTAAGAGTTATCTTTCATTATAAGACTTACTCCTTCAATAATGAGATTGAGTTACTGCCCTTTGGAGCCAACTTCCACTTTAGGTAGAGGTTATTAGAAGTAATTTCAATAACAATGGGAAGGATAACCAATGAAATTCTTTCTATTTATAACTAAGTTCTGCACTTTAGGACCCATTTATAATCATTATATTAACAATGTTTTCTTTTTAATTTTTAGGTGGAATAGCTATATTTCTGCACATTTGGGAATTTACCTAAATATAATACACGTGTATCCGTCGTGGTTTAAACCAGAATTACAAACTTGCTTTCAAAAACCAAGACCCTGCATAATAGTCTGTAAACTATCCATCTATCCACTGGTCACCTTCACATAGTAATAATTTGGGATTTCCCACGTTTGTTATGTTTTCTACGGTGATCTAGTAATGCCATTTTTATATAATTTTCAAAGAAAATATCGGGGTTTGTTAAAAAAAAAAAAAAAATTCGTCCCATTACATGTACATAAACATTCAATTTCTTTAAATATACATGTACATAGAATTTATTTTTAAAAAATTGAATTAATCGAATAATTAAACGTTTAACAATTTTTTTTTCTAAACGACTCCCAAAATAATTAAATAAATAAATAAAAATAAGTTATCTAGACTTATTGATGTGTAATTAATATTAATTATATTTCTTGGGAATTTTAATTGTAGGACATGTCACACCATTTCCTAGTCGTGTATGGCATCTATAATCTATATAATTAATGCACTTCAATTTTATTTAGATAGTTCAATGGTTACGGTGTGGTGTTTAGCAGTAAACATTGGTGTTGCCCACATTGACCTGTTGACTGGCCTGAGGAGTAATAAAGGGATATCGCCTTCCTAGAATTTGTATCTATTGCATTAAGGATTATGATCTGGGCTGAAATTTTAAATTGAATTTAAAAAAAAAAAACATCATATTGACAATTTTTTCTTTGGTTTACAGCAATTTAATCACAAATCATCTAAAAACAAAAGAATTATGGCATTAGTCGGGATGTTAGTTATGCAGACTTTTTAAGTTTAATGTACATTTAAAAGTTCAACATATACAATGTATATTATAAAAATAATAATAATAAATAAATTCCAGATGCTATTTCTCGGTTTCTGTGGACCAGGTTTCATTACAGAACCTTTTCCCTCCATGTACATGTACCTATTCAGTTTTGCAGAGCTATTCAGGAGCTAGCTGTAGCCAGTCTCCTTCAAACCGGTGTATCTCAAAATACAGAAAGCAAAAGTCTTTTTTTTTCAATTTCAGGCAACAGGTATCATTTCAGCAGATCTGGTCCCCTCCTTTTGATCATATGATTAATTTTATAGCATATATTACCTATGTTGGATAACACTCAGTGTTTTGACATATTTGTGTTCTGATTTTGAAGCGGCTTTATTTAAGTCTGCTTTTACATGATTTTGAAGCTGCTTTATTTAAGTCGGCTTTTACATGATTTTGAAGTGGCTTTATTTAAGTTTGCTTTTACATGATTTTGAAGCGGCTTTATTTAAGCCTGCTTTTACATGAGCTTTCTTTGCATTACTATTAAAGAGTGAGTAAAATAGTGGCTTTGGGTATCAAGCATATAAATGTCTCTTGTGATACCATTCAAGTTTTTGTTACAACATTTTAGACTGGCCAAACTGGTTTGGGGACATGTTTGCATGTTGAAAAATATTACAATATGATTGTTTCAATCTTTGCAGATTTTCGCTGTATTATGTACAAATATTAAAAGGGCGTCTCAATTTTCACATTTAAACTCAAAACCCTTATCCCAATATCAGTTTCCGTCCATCTTAAGGTATTCAATGTATAATGAAGGAATTTTCGACGATTTTAGATAAAGATAAAAGTGAAATGAACCAAAATTCGCAAGACTAATAACATGTACAGAGACGGTCATTTTGCACATTGAAAGTTTCTAAGAGTTATCTGGCCTTGATTAAAAAAAAAAATTAATTTATCTAAATTTCTTCGGTATAAAGTTCATTTTATATCATATTTTAATAAAGAAACAAACGCATATTTTCCCCAAGAGATAATACTTGGATTAGTTTGAAATTCACACTACTTCTTAAAATATCTTACAAAAACATATGCGCTGTCCATAGACTTGAATATTAAAATCAAAGTGCAATTAACTGGTTAGTAATCAACATGTAAATTCCTTGTTGGAACATTTTTGTTTTACAACATCTTCAAATTATGACTAAAATATTGCCGATTTGGTGTTGAACAATAATTAATTAATCAAAATATTTTGCTACCATGATTTAAAATATCGGACTATTCATTTCTTAGGTACAAAATATGGTCGTTATACATTGAATAAACTTTAAACAAAGCTTTGCAGTTTTTAAATATTCAGTCAACTGAAGTTAAGACGCACTGATTTTTCACATTGGGGTTGCAATCCACTTGTATACAAAAGTGTTTTCAGAGGAAAATATTACGCAGATGGGAAGGTGGCAGTCGGGCGCCAGGGCTATGTATTGAGCAAAAAATTTAGATACGATACGATACAATAATTTTTTTTTTCTTAAGATATATGCGATATATTGGATTCTATAAAAAGTCAATCATAAAAGGCTTATAAATCATTTAACGTATGAATTTCAAAAAAAATTAAGTGTTTCATTGTCATTACAACTTACACCTCAAATTAAAACTTTTAATGACTATCAAATCAAGACATTTAATGACTGTAAAATCAACATTTTAAATAAAAATTGTCTATGCTTTAGTAATAATTCTAAAAACTGTGTTATTGCCTTAAAAAGTTGAATGATTATTGAACAGATTTAATTCAAAAAAGTGAAATATGATCTTTGGTGATTGAAGTTCCCATCTTTTTAACAGAATTAGAAAAAAAAAATGCCTGTCCGATACGTATTGGAATTTAATTTTCGATACGATATGTTTCTTGTATATTGATACGTATCGATAAATTGATAAAACCCTACAGTCAGCAGCCTACAAATCTTACATAAGACCATTGTCGTAAATTTACCTTCTGTTTATATATTGTTTTATATTATGACACAACGCTGCAATTCAAATATTGCTTTGACATTTACTGAGTATTCCCACAAACTTTTATTACATATATGGTCACCATATTTTGCCTCAAAATAATTGATAAATTGCCTTGCAAATGCAGAATGACAGAAGTGTAGACATAGGATTAATAGTGCATGTGCTACATTTGTGGTAACTGGTAAGTAAGTTTAAGGGTCGTGGTGCATCAATCAGTTATCCACATATTAGGACGCATTGCAAGGGAGATAATGGAGTTCAATTTTCAGATTTGGGAAACAGAATTTTTATTTGTACTTTGAGAAATTATATCAATTGTGTAATTTTGTTTTGTGAACATTTCTGCGATGCTTGTCATGAGCCCCATTGTGTGCGAGTTGCACATTAGTCATTTTCAATGCAATTTGCATTTATTTTAAAATTTCAATCTTAAGGCGCAATTTGTGCCTTTCACTTACCAATTTGGTTATTTGGTGCAATTTGTACCTAATGTGTGCACGATTTGTGCTTTTATTGTTGATTTGGGCGGCAAAATCGCCGCCCCAATTTTAGTTTGAGACGGATGGGTCATGCGACTATGTCCCTTGACCCATTTGGTTTAATACATATATTTTGGTGCGATTTGTACCTAATTTGTGCACGATTTGTGCTGTTGTTACTATGGGCCGCAAAATTGCCGCCCCAATTTTAGTTTGTGGCGGATGGGTCACGTGACTTTGTCCCTTGACCCATTTGGCATAATTTTGCAAAGAATGCTGTCTCCGGGGGGTACTGTTTTTTCCAGACTCCTTGGATCAAGGTGGTATTTCTCTTGCTCATCATCTATATTCATTTACCTATGCTGCCATATAATCATAATGATCGGCGCATACATAGTGTTATATCTAATTTATTATTAAATGGCAATGACAAGCACGCCAAAACAAATAAAGTCTTCTTTTTATTGACTGTATTTTCAGACTTCTTAAACCTTTTACTGGGGTTAATCTGATCAAGTGTATTTCTGTTATTGTCTTAGTCCAATGTCACGAAATAATGGGGTTTATCCAATATGGATAAACCTGGTTATTTCGTGCAGCTTAATGTTTTACATGCAAAGATAGATAACTCTTAGTTTCTTAACATTGAACGTCATAAATCATCGGGCTCGGTGCTTAAAAAATTCTTGATAATTCTTGTCTGCGCATGTCTTCTAGAATATTCCTTTTGAATCTGTAAATTGAACGAAGCAGACGCAAAGATTTTTTAAAAACCCACCCTCCCTCCCCTTAATTGTATATTTTATCCCCCTTTAGCACCTCTGCCATTTTTTCTAATGCATTTGCATTATAACGGTTTTTTCCGGTTGTTTTTTTCGTTTTCTTTTAATTTCTCGTTTCAGCGTCATGGCATGGATCGAATCTTGAATATAGGATCCACCAGCTTGTTGATGTGCTTTGCGGACCTTCGATGTTGATGTGCTTTGCGGACCTTCAATATTCCAGTTGCGTGTGGCTATTGACTTTGTTAGGCATAATTTTGCAAAGAATGCTGTCTCCGGGGGGTACTGTTTTTTCCAGACTCCTTGGATCAAGGTGGTATTTCTCTTGCTCATCATCCATATTCATTTACCTATGCTGCCATATAATCATAATGATCGGCGCATACATTGTGTTATATCTAATTTATTATTAAATGGCAATGACAAGCACGCCAAAACAAATAAAGTCTTCTTTTTATTGACTGTATTTTCAGACTTCTTAAACCTTTTACTGGGGTTAATCTGATCAAGTGTTTTTCTGTTATTGTCTTAGTCCAATGTCACGAAATAATGGGGTTTATCCAATATGGATAAACCTGGTTATTTCGTGCAGCTTAATGTTTTACATGCAAAGATAGATAACTCTTAGTTTCTTAACATTGAACGTCATAAATCATCGGGCTCGGTGCTTAAAAAATTCTTGATAATTCTTGTCTGCGCATGTCTTCTAGAATATTCCTTTTGAATCTGTAAATTGAACGAAGCAGACGCAAAGATTTTTTAAAAACCCACCCTCCCTTCCCTTAATTTTATATTTTATCCCCCTTTAGCACCTCTGCCATTTTTTCTAATGCATTTTCATTATAACGGCTTTTTCCGGTTGTTTTTTTCGTTTTCTTTTAATTTCTCGTTTCAGCGTCATGGCATGGATCGAATCTTGAGTATAGGATCCACCAGCTTGTTGATGTGCTTTGCGGACCTTCGATGTTGATGTGCTTTGCGGACCTTCAATATTCCAGTTGCGTGTGGCTATTGACTTTGTTAGGCATAATTTTGCAAAGAATGCTGTCTCCGGGGGGTACTGTTTTTTCCAGACTCCTTGGATCAAGGTGGTATTTCTCTTGCTCATCATCTATATTCATTTACCTATGCTGCCATATAATCATAATGATCGGCGCATACATTGTGTTATATCTAATTTATTATTAAATGGCAATGACAAGCACGCCAAAACAAATAAAGTCTTCTTTTTATTGACTGTATTTTCAGACTTCTTAAACCTTTTACTGGGGTTAATCTGATCAAGTGTATTTCTGTTATTGTCTTAGTCCAATGTCACGAAATAACATTATTATCTTGCATGTGAACATAAATATCTTGCAATGTCTACATAATTATCTTGCATGTTAACATCGGTATCTTTCATGTTAACATAATTTACTTGCATGTTCACATAAATAAGTCTCATGTCTACTTTATTAACTTGCATGTTGACATAAATATCATGCATGTCTACTTAATTATATCACATGTTCACATAAGTTGACCGCATCTTGTCATAATTATATTGCATCTTGCATCTACAATATTAATGTCAGATACGGTCTTATGATTTCAACCATATTAAAAATCAGATTCTCAAAAAACAAAATTGAAACTTGCATGTCGACGTAATTAACGTATCGCCAGCTGTCAATCATAACAAATTTTCAACCAATGAAATAATTTCGTTTATTCTGCCCGTTCAGTAAAAACTTGCTCCGCCATATGCTCCGACAAACACTCTCAGTGGGTTGAATGGTCGACAATAAACAAATTGAGCAAATTAGTCTATTATGGTTTAAAAATATTCAGTTGGGGAACGTGTAATACCGATGAAAGGTATCCCAAAAGAGAATTATGGATGTTTCGGGACTGCCATGCTTTGGGACGCCGACGTTTCAAGACCTGTCAACACATTTCGCATGATTTCGGGACTTGGGTTTACACGTTTTGGGACTTCTAAATATTTTGGTCAGAAAATAAAATAAAACTCGTTTACTTGTTTGTCATGTTTATATAAATGTATACTTTCTTAGTTTGATACGCAAAAAATTGGTATTTATAAATTCATGCACAGTATAAATGGTATACACAGTATCGAGATTCATTTGACAGACTGTCTTCTACTCTAGTTAAAAATATAAAAATAACTTGTGAATAATAGAATATCTGTAAATATCTACATATGATACCGGTAGATAATTATGCTTAATCAGTCTCTAACACTTCTACATGTACGTTCGTGCATATTGTACCCTCAAAGTAATGGTCAAAATACATACACATTTTAAAAACGAACATTACGATTTTTGAGTTTCTAATTTCACATTTATCGTGTTTATATTGTTGACTTGTGTCTGAAAGTTACCAGTTTTTATTACCAGTTATTATTGCATATGCAGGATTAAGTTTATGAACTTTTATTTTTCACTTGAAAAAATTAAATTCGATTTAATCTACCCATTAAAAATGATTATATTTTATCGCTAAAAATTAAATTTAAATTACCCCCCCCCTCAATACCAGCATTATTTAATTATTAAGAACACCATCACGTATTGGCAAAATATTGAATTTATTTAATAACTTTATTTTTTTATATAAAGACATACATTGTCATTACCGGAATTATAATCAATATCTTTAACGAATTAGTCCGACTTTGTTATTTGAGGGTTGTCCAGAAAAACACGAACTTTGTATATTAGATTTATATAATACCGGTATATATCTGACCAAAATTATTCAAAATCTTCATGCACTACTATCTATTATTGCTAAAAAGTGTGCACATTTTCCACCAGAACTTAAAAGTAAAGAAGAAAGATTTTTTCAGAGTCGATATTATCGGAGCCCGAGAGATTTATGGAACGACCATTTGATTCGGGAAGGGGAGAGGGGCTTGCAATTTTTTTTTTCCGAGTCAGAGTCAGATTATTTATTGTCATGACGAATTATTTATTTCCAATGGCAGATTATTTATTCATTTATTCTCCGCTTCACTGAAAAAGTCGAACAAGCAAAAAAAAAGGGAAACACCGTCGACAACGTCGACAACCCAAGATTATTGGGGGGGGGGGGGGAGTTAGGGGGGCATATTATTTATTTTCTTCCAGTTGTGGAAAGTTCATTTATTTCCAAACTGACTCAACTCCTTTATTAGCCAGACATCATATTCAGAATCAAATGATCGCCTCCTTATAGATAGAAACTAAAAGCATGTCTTAGTTGACAATGTCGGAATGGTTTTGTATATTATTGCTGATTTAATAAAATTATAACATTACAAATTGAATTCAAAGTCGTTGTTGTAATTTATCATTTACCCAGATTTGCAGTCACAATGTCCTTCTGTCTTCGTCGACATAGATGATTACAGTATGAGGGATTTCGAACTTTATCATGCTTCGATAAATTTCCGAGAAAGGGATAATACGGAATCATTTTTGAATACCGCAAATCAGGAAATTTTTACGTCGATTCTATTTTGCGAATTCGGGTCAAAATGCTGTTGATTAATTTTTACGCTTCAAAATTTTGCGAATGACCACTACTTTGTTAACATTTTCTTATTGGTGATTTATTTTTAAGAAAAATATTTTTGCGAATGCAATGAACTCGCAAATTTGCTAAAAATTTATCTACAGCAAATATTTCCAGATTTACGGTATTTCAAGTGAATGAAATGTATGAAAGATTTTGTAAAAGCATTTGCCCTTTGTTTTGTCTCAAAGTGGGTTCGAATGGCAAATATTTTGCAGCAAATCATCAGGAACTTCGGTCAAATCAACCGGCGTCGACTTATACTGATTTACTCCCTATGTTGATGATGTCGGAGCACCGTAGGAGTTATCTCCCATAGCGCGATGGGCGGAGTTTGGCGATACGTTAATTATTTTGCACGTAGACATACATGTAATTACCTTGCATGTTGACATGTTTTTCTTGCATGTTAAAATAATTTATCTTGCATGTAGGGGGCAGAACTATTTCATTGTATTTGTAATCAATGGCAGAGTAGTAAAATGTTTGGCATGGTCCTAAAACCGCATCTAAGGAGAATACAACGCAATTAATACAAGAGAAAGAATGAAAACCTCTAGATAAACTTTCTTAGATGTGCGGTTTAAAATTTTATGCATACAAGTTGTTTCATAATTTAGGGACATATTTTTAACAGGGCACTGAGACAATAATGATTATGTATGATCGAGATGGTCAAGAAATGTTTGAAAATAAATGCCATGGGATAGTAAAACCAAAATTACTTACTCTGGGTATATCCCACTGTTATTTCATTGGTAACTGTCGTTTTGCAGGCTAAACATGCTAGGAATTCATTTCTACATAGACATCGATTCCTATCGTTAGAATGTTCATCATATGGTTTAATCTGTAATATAAATGATTGATTGATTGATTATATATTGTTTAACGTCCCTCTCGAGAATTTTTCACTCATATGGAGACGTCACCGTATGCTGGTGAAGGGCTTCAAATTTTGACCTTTACTCGGCACTCAGGGCCATTGAACTGTGAGGGATCTTTATCGTGCCAACGCCTGCCGCTGACACGGGACCTCGGTTTTTAAGGTCTCATCCGAAGGACCTGCAACTTTCACTTCAAAGTGCCGAGCGCATGGCGAAGGAACAGTTGCTTCCAATTTTAACGACTAGGTCGGTCGCGGCCGAGATGCGAACTCACGACCTCCCGATCACGGAGCGAGCGCTCTACCGACTGAGCTACCGTGAACGGTGTAATATAAATGAAAGATTTTCAATCTGAAAGAATATGATCTTCATTGTTCTTTTTTTTTTTTTTGCCTTTATAAGTCTTCAAGTTTTAATCCATTTTCTTACTTGAACCTTTTCTTCACTAAAGCGTTATTTGCCTTTCATCAACATATCTACATGTCATAAATTGCAACATCACCTACCTTTATCACATATTGTCCAGGCGAAAGTCTTGTAAACACGTGGTGCGGCTTCTAATAAGGAAAACGATATCATTTTGCAGGATCTTATTTTACAACTGTCAGAATGTAAAAAAAAAAATTATAGTAAGCCTTACTTCCTTTGGCATGTTGCGAATTATGATTGGTTTGGAATCATTAACGTTTTCTAGGCTGACAGTGTACTCATTAAATTTGTACTCCGGGGGTCCCAAAGCAAAACTCATCTCCAGGTTATTGAAAGGTCCAGAACTGTTTGTGGTGGTCTTATAAAATATTGTGGTTACCCACTGACTTGGTGGTATTACATCGCTACCTGTATTGAATTTAAAGGTAGAAACTGTAAATTTGAAATAAAAAAGTATGTAATTCATATTCATAGGTATTGGAACCGAGGGGGAGGGGGTTAATCCCCAGTGTTTTTTTTTAAATAGAAATAATTCAGGCATTAAATTTGGGGCTTACCTTTTTTGTTGGTATAACCTCCCCCCCCCTTCACTCCCCCGGACTTTCAATCATATAAAATGTATTTTAGAGGATCTTTGTTTTCATTTTACTAATGGTAATCCAACTTATACTCAAAGCTCCCTTTTTTAAGAGGAAATTCTTCAAAATCATGTCAGTTTGAATATTTTTGATATTCCAAACAACCAATATAAATTTGATTATCATATCTACGTTGGATACTGATACTTCATAAAAGTCATTACAAACAGAGATACATTTATGCTATTATTTACACACTGAATTGTCCATGGATTTTTTTCCGATTTTTTTGTTGTTTTTATTTCCGGATCATAACGGTGTGGCCAGCGGGTAGGGTATGTGTACTGCTTCATGGCACCTGATCTCACTTCTGATATTTCAGAAAAGTCCGTGTTTGCTACGCTCCTATTTTGAAATGTTCAATGGACTTTCGAGCTGGAGTCCTGTGCATTATCTCATCTCCACATGTTTCATATATGTCGTACTTACATGATTATTGTCCAAAATAAAAAAAGCTATGTTTGTATTGTCATATTTAAAAAAAACATATTTAATAGAAATAAAATATACCGCATCCTCCATTCGGTACACAGACGCCATACTCCCCGTTTTGGACGTTTTCGGTTACGTTGAGGTATCGATCGTACTGCGCAGGTGCAGGGGGAAGACTCCTACTGACCAGAAAAACAATGGGAGGATTTGCTGTGGCCATGGGCCAGATCTCAGTCCAAAAACCAGTCTAAAGTTTAATGCAAGCTTTTCTTAGAAAAACAACGTCACTAAAATCCTATGAACTTATTAAAATCAAAAAGTTTAGCAAAAGTTTCTTTTTTGAAACCATTTCTGTTAAAATGCAAAACAAAACATAAACAATTATTTTGATTTTTTGTTACATAATATTTTTGCAATACCTGTGTAACATGCTTTATACCAAGTTTTCAATTTAAAATATATGTTACAGACAGAATTACAAGCAATCTTTATCGCTGCACCAATAAACATTTTATATTAATGAAAGATCTTTAAGTTTCTACTTGCCTGAACCACATCATTGTATGTCAAATTCTGTGCGGATAAGTCAAATATCAAACAGCCATATTTCACATCTCTATTATATGTGAAGATAAGTTCGAAACCTTTCACAACATCAAAGCTTCCTGAAAATTCAAACAGAATATTAATCATATTAAATTGATCACAAGACACGATTTAGCTCTGTAGCTCTCTGGCTGAACTTGGAACTGTAGCTCTCTGGCTGAAAATTTAAGATAGGACAAAAACAGATCCAATCATTGAAACCTTCGATTTATGGCGAGCCGACGCTTTTTTGTTGTTGACACTATGGGCATTGTGCGTTCCTCCCTTTCAATCATAATATCTATTGATTAAACATATATTTTACTCCTATTCAATTTACCTTTCATAAGTGACCAAGACGTGCTATTTCAATGTTAACTAGTGCTAATTGTAACGGGGACCGTTACAGATGTTCCCCAAACGCTCCCCAACTACCTTTTGGTGCCATATTCCCTGTAAGCTTCATTAAATAAGACAAACTCTATGCATCTGAGATTTTAACAACATTTACAAAGAAGTGTACAAAAATCATTTAAACTTTAGCATTGCACGCGTGCACATGTGAATGCATTTGCGTCATGACCATATCATATTGTCTACACAATCTATATTTTTAATACACTGAATATTAAAGTATTTAATCCAAAATTATTTAAAAAATACACTCATTCAAGTGTATGTTTGATTTTACTCATTTCACGTGCACGCACATGTATACATGAGCATGGTGACCATACCTTCTTGTAGAAGTCCATTACATCTATCTATGTTCTACATTCCACCCCGTTTGGGTGAAAACTAAGGGAGTTATAGCTGTTTAAACTTTCAGCCAATCAGATTGCAGCACATGTACACGCATGTGTATGCATGTGCATGGTGACCATACCTACTTGTAGAAGTCCATTATATCTATCTATGTTCCAAATCCCATCCTGTTTGGTTGAAAACCAAGGGAGTTATAGCTGTTTAAAGTTTCAGCCAATCAGATTGCAACGCACGTGCATGCACGTGTTTTCATGATAATTGCTTTATTTCATTATGTAGGATATCCTAATGCATGGCTATGTTCAAAATTTCAAAGGATTTCGTCAAACAACAAGAAAGATATTGAGACTTTAGTTGCAGCCAATCAGAGCGAAGTGCACGTGCATGCGCGTGAGATCTTGCTATTTTCACCATGTCGTCATGTCTATACTACTAATATATCCTCACATTATGAGTTTCAAAGCATTTCATCTAAAAATAGAACAGTTGTGGCTATATCTACTATATTGGTCATTTCACGTGTTGCACGTGCACGTTCTTGCAAGCACGTGCGCGCAAAATGACCTTGATTCCGCAAATCTACATAACATGTCTACTAACCCTAAAAAGGTTTTACCTACATCGGACGAACAGTTTACAAGATCATTCCCGGACAAAAAAGTTCCAGGAAGAAGAAGAAAAACTAGTGCTAATTGTAACGGGGACCGTTACAGATGTTCCCCAAACGCTCCCCAACTCCCTTCTGGTGTCATATTCCCTTTAAGCTTCATTAAATAAGACAGACTCTATGCATCTGAGATTTTAACAACATTTACAAAGAAGTGTACAAAAATCATTTAAACTTTAGCATTGCACGCGTGAACATGTGAATGCATTTGCGTCATGTCTACACAATCTATATTTTTAATACACTGAATATTAAAGTATTTAATCCAAAATTATTTAAAAAATACGCTCATTCAAGTGTATGTTTGATTTTACTCATTTCACGTGCACGCACGTGCATACATGAGCATGGTGACTACTTTCTTGTAGAAGTCCATTACATCTATCTATGTTCTAAATTCCACCCCGTTAGGGTGAAAACTAAGGGAGTTATAGCTGTTTAAAGTTTCAGCCAATCAGATTGCAGCACATGTACACGCACGTGTATGCATGTGCATGGTGACCATACCTACTTGTAGAAGTCCATTATATCTATCTATATTCCAAATCCCATCTTGTTTGGTTGAAAACCAAGGGAGTTATAGCTGTTTAAAGTTTCAGCCAATCAGATTGCAGCGCACGTGCATGCACGTGTTTTCATGATAATTGCTTTATTTCATGTTGTAGGATATCCTAATGCATGACTATGTTCAAAATTACAAAGGATTTCGTCAAAAAACAAGAAAGATATTGACACTTTAGTTGCAGCCAATCAGAGCGAAGTGCACGAGCATGCGCGTGAGATCTTGCTATTTTCACCATGTCGTCATGTCTATACTACTAATATATCCTCACATTATGAGTTTCAAAGCATTTCATCTAAAAAAAGAAAAGTTGTGGCTATATCTATTATATTGGTCATTTCACGTGTTGCACGTGCACGCTCTTGCAAGCACGTGCGCGCAAAATGACCTTGATTCCGCAAATCTACATAACATGTCTACTAACCCTAAAAAGGTTTTACCTACATCGGAGGAACAGTTTACAAGATCATTCCCGGACAAAAAAGTTCCAGGGAGAAGAAGAAGAAGAAGAAGAAGAAGAAGAAGAAGAAGAAAAATAATAATAACTAGAGCAAAGCTCGTTGCAAAGCAACGAGTAGGTCTTCCGTCCGGTTTTGACCGGAAGTGCCGGAAGTGACACAACAAAAGAAAGCAAGGAGCTTAAAAGTCTCCAGTGACTTTATAATTTCAATTTTGCATCAAAACCTTCAAAATAAGCCATTTTTTGCTACTTCCGGTTTGACCGGAAGTGACGACGACGGACGGAAAAATTACTTTTTATGCTTCCAGAGACATATGTAACCTCAAAACTTGTCAAGAACGGCAAAAAAAAACGCGTTTTCCGGCTACTTCCGGTTTGGCCGGAAGTGACGACGCCAGACGTATTTTGACGACGACAGTAGATTAAGCTTGACATTTTGAACAACTTTGCTTCTTTGACCTCTTACAAATTCTTAATACTTTTTGACTTATGAAAGAAAAACTTTCGGCCCCTCTAGGCCCTTAAATTTAGGGGCCAGCCCTTTTTCTAACCTATCATTTGAAAGATCGTGAAATTTTACATTTCTTTTGTTCTATATGTTTTAACAAAATGTTTACAGGTAAAAAGATATCGTAGAAAAGGTGTATTAAATTTTGAAATTTGCGACTTGTCATTTTTCGAGCCATAGCCAGCGCCGACGTACTGTACTTCCGGTAAAAACGAAAGACGTTACGCATATCTGTAGACTTTGGTCTATCATACCTGAAAGTTTCATGTTTCTATCTAGAGCCATTATTGAGAAAGTCTGGAGACAACCTGACCCTTTAAAATTCATAAAATCGGCAATATTTCCAAACCGGAAGTGACGTCATCAAAACGGAAAAAAATGCATAAGGTTCAAGTAATGTTACATAAGTCCTGAAAGTTTCGTTGAAATCCATCGAGCCGTTTTCGAGAAATCGCGTGCACAAAATCGGTAAGAAAAAAAAGAATAATAATAATAATAACTAGAGCAAAGCTCGTTGCCAAGCAACGAGTAGGTCTTCCGTCCGGTTTTGACCGGAAGTGCCGGAAGTGACAGAACAAAACAAAACAATGAGCTAAAAAGTCTCCAGTGACTTTATAATTTCATTTTTGCATCAGAACCTTCAAAAGAAGCCATTTTTTGCTACTTCCGGTTTGACCGGAAGTGACGACGACGAACGGAAAAATTACCTTTTATGCTTCCAGAGACATGTGTAACTACAAAACTTGTCAAGAACGGCAAAAAAACGCGTTTTCCGACTACTTCCGGTTTGGCCGGAAGTGACGACGCCGGACGTATTTTGACGACGCCAATAGATTAAGCTTGACATTTTGAACAACTTTGCTTCTTGACCTCTTACAAATTCTTAATACTTTTTGACTTATGAAAGAAAAACTTTCGGCCCTCCAGGCCCTTAAATTTAGGGGCCAGCCCTTTTTTTAAGATATCATTTGAAAGATCTTGAAATTTTACACTTCTTTTGTTCAATATGTTTAAACAAAACGTTTACAGGTAAAAAGATATCGTAGAAAAGGTGTTAAAAATTTTGAAATTTGCGATTTGTCATTTTTCGAGCCATAGCAGCGCCGACGTACTGCACTTCCGGAAAAACGAAAGACGTTACGCATATTTATAGACTTTGCTCTATCATACCTAAAAGTTTCATGTTTCTATCTAGAGCCATTATTGAGAAAGTCTGGAGACAACCTGACCCTTTAAAATTCATAAAATCGGCAATATTTCCAAACCGGAAGTGACGTCATCAAAACGGAAAAAAATGCATAAGGTTCAAGTAATGTTACATAAGTCCTGAAAGTTTCGTTGAAATCCATTGAGCCGTTTTCGAGAAATCGCGTGCACAAAATCGGTAAGAAAAAAAAGAATAATAACTAGATGAGATCTCGTTGCGAGCAACGAGTAGGTCTTCCGTTGAATTTCTCGATAAGATGAGATGTGATTTTGACTGAGATATTCGTTAAAAAAGAATGACATTAAGTTTTCTTTCCTTAAATTTAAAGTTTCTGATTTTTATCACGATATTCTGAACTTCTTTTGTTCAATATGGCTTATAAAAATGCTCCTTCTTTTCGAAACGAAATGCATAAAAAAATATATATCGTTTTGGCCCCTTGCAACCACTTCTTACATGTACGTAACATATGATCAAAATTTTATAAGATATTGTTGTAAATCGTTAAGATGAATATCTGTGCTTCTCATGATGGATACTTATCAAAAAATATTGATCATTAGAGAGTTATAGATAAAAAAACTTTTGGACCCTCTGAACCCCTAATTTGAGGGGTCAGCCCCATTTTCTGATATCAAATGAAAGGTCTTGAGATTTTGAAGATTTTTGTTGAACATTCATTCAGAGATTTCTATTCGTTGTGGAGATATGCTAAATAGAAATATTTAGGAGTCACTTATGTCTTGAATGGTTCAGTTTACAAAAATTCAAAGTATGCATATTGTTTAGAACATTATTCTGACAATCTTTTGATCAATATTGCTTATCAAAATATTCCCCCTTTTCGAGATATAAAGCGTCAAAGATTTGACATTCTGGCCCCTTGTGACCCCTAATTACGTAACATATGATCAAAATTGTATCATATATTGTTGCCAATTGTTAAGATGAATACTTTTGCTTCAGTAATGTATAACAAAATATTGATCAATAGAGAGTTATAGATAAAAGACTTTTGGCCCCTCTGAGCCCCTAATTTGAGGGGTCAACCCCTTCTTCTTCATATCAAATGAAAGGTCTTGTGATTTTGAAGCTTTTTTGTTCGACACTTATTCAGAGATTTCTATTCGTTGTGGAGATATGCTAAATGGAAATATTTAGGGGCCACTCCTACAAGTCCTTAATGGGGTCGTTTTACAAAAATTCAAAGTATGCATATTGTGTAGAACATTATTCTGACAATCTTTTGTTCAATATTTCTTATCAAAATATTCCCCCTTTTCGAGATATAAAGCGTCAAAGATTTGACATTCTGGCCCCTTCTGACCCCTAATTACGTAACATATGATCAAAATTGTATCATATATTGTTGCAATGTGTTAAGATAAATACTTTTGCTTCAGTAATGTACAACAAAATATTGATCATTAGAGAGATATAGATAAAAGACTTTTGGCTCCCATGAGCCCCTAATTTGAGGGGTCAGCCCCTTTTTCTAGATATCAAATGAAAGATCTTGTGATTTTGAAGCTTTTTTGTTCAACGCTTATTTAGAAATTTTTTATTCGTTGTGGAGATATGCTAAATTGAAATATTAAGGGGCCACTCCTTCAAGTCCTTAATGGGGCCGTATTACAAAAATTCAAAGTATGCATATTGTTTAGAACTTTATTCTAACCATCTTTTGTTCAATACTGCTTATCAAAATATTCACCCTTTTCGAGATATGAAGCGTCAAAGATTTAGCATTCTGGCCCCTTGTGACCCCTTATTACGTAAGATATGCTTAAAAAGTGAAAATATGTTGTTGCAAATGGTCTAAAATTAATTAAAATCGAAAAATAGAGAAGAAAAAGTGATAAAATTTTTTGGACACACGGGGGATCGAACCCGGGTCGCCCGCGTGACAATCCAACGCGCTAACCATTCGGCCATCGGGATCGCCGCTTCGCGTTTTCAAATGCAAATATCTTGAGATTGGCTTTTTCGATTTTCAAACAAACTACATATTTGGCTTCTGCAAAAGGGTCTCCATTCAATTCTTAAACAAAAATATTGAAAAAGAAAAGTTGAAAAATTACGTTTTTTAAATTCGCTTCCGGTTTCGACCGGAAGTATTGACGTCGCACGAAAAGGCGATTCTGCAACGCTATAAGTCATGAACTATCATCTCCAATTAATCTTCAGTTCATATCTAAAGCAGTTTTCGCTACTAAATCAAGACAATATTGCATTTTAAAATCAGAAAATTGTCCATATCTCACGACCGGAAGTGACGTCATCGACGAAAAAAATTTCCAATAAGGTTCAGATCAGTACCTATTAGATGTCAAAGTTTCATGAGAATCGGTCCAGTAGTTTACGAGAAATCGCGTGCACAAAATCGGTAAGAAAAATAATAATAATAATAATAATAGGGAAAAAGAAACCGAAGAATAACAAGAAGGTCTTCCGTTGGAGACGGAAGACCTTAATAATAATAATAAAAGTGAAAAAGAAACCAAAGAATAACAAGAAGGTCTTCCGCTGAAGACGGAAGACCTTAATAATAAGAAACAGAGTAAAAACAATATGTTCCCCAACTTCGTTTGGGGAACATAATAATAATAATAATAAGAAACAGAGTAAAAACAATATGTTCCCCAACTTCGTTTGGGGAACATAATAATGTCAATAATATGGACGTCGGAATGCGAATTTTCAAAGCTGAAAGTCCAAGGTCATAATGTCTGTTTGAAACCATTATTGTATCAGGAAAATAAGAACAACTAACTAAAGAAATTCATGCTTTAAACATGGGAAAACTGAATACTCAATATACTTTAGGATGCATCCACATAAAAATGAATGATCATATCTTTGTTTTTGTTTTTTTTCTAAAATAAAATATCTTTTAATGTTGGTTTACTTTGTTTTGTGGTCATTCCTTCGCTAGAGCTATGATTTGAAAAAGAACAAAACATAAATCACTTAGATACAGCTTTCTAGATCTGGCCAAGTGGTTTTTGAGAGATATTTTTTAAAGGATATTTTCTATGAATTCCATTTTTAAAAATTTGATTGTATTTCCACCCTACCCACAGGAGCAAATTAAAATATTAAAATCACATACGCGCAATTTAATGAAGACTTCTTTTTTTTGGCCAAGTTACTCAGTTAAAAAATGAATCTGATATTTTGTAATTTTTTATACTGAAAAACAGACTAAACAGACTGAAAGAAATGAAATATTTTATATCTTCAACCTCTGTGGATTTCACACTTTTTCTCTTAACTTATTTTTTCTAAACTTGGTACAAACTCAAATCTACCGTCGTACCTGTGACTGGGGCCATGAGGGTCACCCTTAATCCTGAGTAATATTTCTTGTTTCCAGGCCATTCCCTGCTAAACACCTGAGTTTCCATTGACTCTGGCTTCTCCGGGAATCGGTAATCTTCCGGAACCTTGTACAAGTGGGGAAACGCTGTGGCCGCTTTGGCGGAACAACCTTTTAAAAATGGAAGAAAAAATATTTGAGTTATTCACAAAACAGCCTTTATGACAGATGTCTAACTGACTTCACATTGTTTTACACTGCGTTTCTAAAAATTGTATAAGACCTTTAGTACAAGCCTATAAATTAAAAAAGAATATCGTTCAATACAAAAGTATGAGGCCTATTTCCGTGTACCTAGGTTAACATATTAGTTTTAACGTTAAAAAAATGTTACAGTCGCCAGTTAATTCAAATATTCTTAATTCAATGGGTGGAACAGTGTTAGGCCGTGTATGTGTTCTAGAGTGGCGTGGTAAGGAGGCAATTCTAAAGTCACGGGTTGAAACCCCCTCCCGTGGGACCGTTCCTTTGGATGAGACCGTATAAACAGAGGTTCTGTGTCGCAGTTGGTACTGGCATGAAATAGATCCCTCACTGCACAATGACCACAAGTGCCACGTATAAGTTAAAATTGCAAATCTCCATCGGCAAGTGGTGGCGTCTCCATATGGGTGAAAATTCTTGAGAGGGACGTGAAAAACAAAAAGATTCAGTGGTTTCATCAACTCTCTCTCTCTCTCTCTCTCTCTCTCTCTCTCTCTCATACTTACCACTTTGTTTAATGTAATATACGAAACAGGTGATATTGGGCTGCAAATAAATAAATAAATTAAACCGATAAAAATATAACTATTTGAAAAAATATATTAAGATAGATAAATATGAAAGAAATTATTATCTCCACATGTCTCTAACAAGTAGGACAATTATACATTTGAACTTGACTTCATGCTTTCTTCAGATTCTGTAGGCGTGTTTGTAAGTGTCATATGCCACGGTACAAACTGCAATAAATTTCATCCCATCATAACTAAGAACGAGTAAGAAGAAACAAATGTATAATATTTATGTTCCCCAAACGAAGTTGGGGAACATATTGTTTTTACTCTGTTTCTTATTATTATTATTATTATTATTATTATTTTTCTTCTTCTTCTTCCTGGGTACTTTTTTGTCCGGGAATGATCTTGTAAACTGTTCGTCCGAGGTAGGTAAAACCTTTTTAGGGTAAGTAGACATGTTATGCAGATTTGCGGAATCAAGGTCATTTTGCGCGCACGTGCTTGCAAGAGCGCGCACGTGCAACACTTGAAATAACCAATATAATAGATATAGTCGGAACTTTTCTATTTTTTGATAAAATGCTTTGAAACTCATAATGTAAGGATACATTAGTAGTATAGACAAGATGGCATGGTCAAAATAGCAAGATCTCACGCGCATGCACGTGCGCTTTGCTCTGATTGGCTGAAACTAAAGTCTCAATATCTTTCTTGTTTCTTGTCATAATCTTTTGAAATTTTGAACATGGTCCTACATTATGAAGATCTACAGCAAGACATATTAAAATTTTAATAAAAGCATGCGCATGCGCACGTGCTGTAATCTGATTGGCTAAAACTTTAAATGGCTATATCTCCTTTGTTTTTTGACGAAATGCTTTGAAATTTAAAACATAGTCATGCACTACGATATCCTAAAATATGAAATAGAAAATATTCATGAAATCGTGCGCATGCACGTGTGCTGCAATCTGATTGGCTGAAACTTCAAATGGCTATAACTCTCTTGTTTTTCAAACAAACAGGATGAGATTTAGAACTTGGATAAATATAAGGGACTACTACAAGAAGGTGTAGTCATTATGCACGTGCTTGCACGTGCGTGCACGTGAAATGAGCAAAATAAAAAATACACTCGAATGAGTGCATTTTTTAATACTTTTGGATTAAATGCTTTGATATTATTAAAATTTAAGATAGTGTAGACAAGATAATATGGTCGTTACGCACATGAACACGCGTGCATTGCCTATTTTTTTAATATATTGTATTTTTCTTGGAAGACCTTGATTAAGTCTAAATTCCATAAAGTATTTTTATTATTTTTTTTCTTCTTCTTCTTCTTCTTCTTCTTCCTGGGTACTTTTTTGTCCGGGAGTGATCTTGTAAACTGTTGATCCGATGTAGGTAAACCCTTTTTAGGGTCAGTAGACATGTTATGTAGATTTGCGGAATCAAGGTCATTTTGTGCGCACGTGCTTGCAAGAGCGCGCACGTGCATCATGTGAAATGACCAATATAATGTATATTGCCTTAACTTTTCTATTTTTTGATGAAATGCTTTGAAACTCATAGTGTAAAGATATATTAGTACTATAGACAAGATGACTTGGTCAAAATAGCAAGATCCCACGCGCATGCACGTGCGCTTTGCTCTGATTGGCTGAAACTAAAGTCTCTATATCTTTCTTGTTTTTTGACGAAATCCTTTGAAACTTTGAACATAGCCATGCATAAGGACATCCTACAAGATGGTATATAGCAATTATCATGAAAACACGTGCATGCACGTGCGCTGCAATCTGATTGGCTAAAACTTTAAATTGCTATAACTCCCTTGGTTTTCAACCAAACAGGATAAGATTTGGAACATAGATATATATAATCGACTTCTACAAGAAGGTATGGTCACCATGCGCAGGCATACACGTGCGTGTACGTGCGCTGCAATCTGATTGGCTGAAACTTTAAACAGCCATAACTCCCTTGGTTTTCAACCAAACAGGATGGGATTTGGAACATAGATATATATACTGGACTTCTACAAGAAGGTATGGTCACTATGCACATGCATACATGTGCGTGTACATGCGTTGCAATCTGATTGGCTGAAACTTTAAACAGGTATAACTCCCTTGGTTTTCAATCAAACGGGGTGGGATTTAGAACATAGATAGATGTAATGGACTTCTACAAGAATGTATGGTCACCATGCTCATGTATGCACGTGCGTGCACGTGAAATGGGTAAAATCAAAAATACACTTGAATGACCGTTTTTTTTTTTTTTTTATATATTTTTGGATTATATTTAGCATATTAAAATATATAGATTGTGTAGACAATATGATATGGTCATTACGCACATGCATTCACATGCGCAAGTGTGCAATAATAAAATTTGAATGAACATGGTACACTTCTTGGTAAACGTTGTTAAAGTCTCAAATGCGTAGAGTTTGTCTTATTTAATTACGCCTACAGGGAATATGATTACAAAAGGGAGTTGGGGAGCGTTTGGGGAACATCTGTAACGGTCCCCGTTACAATTAGCACTAGTTTTAATTGGATTTAATTCTTTATTTTTGAAACATGTTTTATGTTTTTTTAAATATCCATGCAGCTTTCAATATATTTTGGCAACAGAATATATCATCATAGAACCGAAGTATGGCACGCCAAATTCACAAAAATGAGCTAAACATAGCTTCACAGTCAATAAACTAGGTATATCGGTTGTAAACTATAGTTTACGGATTGTAAACTATAGTTAACAACGTTTATCTATATTTTACATCTGTAAACCATAGTTAACGCGATAATCTATGTTTCAGAATCGTAAACTATACTAAACACTAAAAACAATCATTTGCGATTGCAAACCATAGATTATCTGATAAATATAGTTTCACGATTTGTAAACTATGGTTTATATCTCTTAATTGAATTTGTAGTTCACGACTGTAAATTATATATTACAGACGTGAATCCATTTTTGTCAACAAAATCTATTGTTGACGAATAATTACAGACAGATAAATTTAGATAAGCATACGTAAACTATAGTTACATGTAACAACCGTAAAATATAGTTTTAGATATGAAAAGTACAGTTAACGAATTGTTAACTATAGTTCACGGTTTGTAAACTATTTGGTTTGTAGTTTACTGTTTACAGTCGATAAATCTAGTTTATCAACTGTGAAACCATGTTTAGCTCATTTTTGTGAATTTGGCGTGCCATATATGGCGAGTATCATAACTAACCAACAAATGTGTTGTGGAATATATGCAATGGTACTACTAAAATCCTTCAAAATATATTAACAAGGAAACATATATTAATGTTGCTATCAATTGGCACTCAGGAAATGAATGAAGTATGCAAACAAAATTAGTCTTGATCATTTAACTGATTTCAATTTGTGTGATAAAAACGTCTGAATGATGGAGACAATAGTCGAGACGATTTTCGGGAAGCTTCTAATCGGATGAAAATCGAACAAAAATGATACATGAAACCGTTTTAACCTTTTACTTCATCAATACTTAACATATGAATAAGAATTATACAAATGTATCAATTATCATCTGTGATCAAAAATGGACTTTTGTGACAGGGCAACATCGTGCATTTTTTAAATGAATTATTCAGATTCATATATTAATTACTTTATTATCTTGGTTTGTGCAAAAATTTACAAGCAAATTACAAGCAAATTCGTGTGGTGTATTTTAATGAAATATTAAAAGGTAAACAAATAATCCATGTAAATCAAATGCATACAATCTCCCTCTAGAAAATAACATACTTACATGAGATGAACACGTCTTGTTAAACCCGATTGTGACTCCATTTACCTCCAAACTTTCGGTTTCTGAATTCGTTATGATCAATATTATCCATAAGCTGGCTACAGCATATGCCTGTTTATCCTTCATTTTAAACAGCCTTACCTCTCTGTATTAGTCGAAAGAGAGGCTTTCTATATCAACGCAGAGAGTGAAGCGAAGCAGTAATCTAATAGGGACTATATTTTTGGTGGAACTGTGGCGTATGAAAATATCCTCTTTTTGCTTCCTATCTACATAACAACGAATTGATTTGAAATATTAAAACAATCAATGAATAAAAAATTATCTTAATGATTGAAATTAATAGCTATATACCAAAGTTTCAAAATACATCAAATAAATACTAAAAAAAAAAAATAGTTGTCTTACTTTAAGTATCATCTCATAGTATCATCAGATAGTACTTATTTGGAGAGATATTTTTATTTTTGGACAAAGATTAAAGGAATAAGATATGTGCAGATAACGAACAGTATTCAAGATCAAAAGTCCATAAAACAATACAATATAGGAGCAGAGAGAAACACTTATATATGTAATCCTTTGAAATAGTAAAATATATTGAATGATTAGCATCAGTATGGTCATGTATTATTTTAATATCACGGAAGAATATAAAGACCTTGACCTGGTTTTGCTCTTAAAATAAAATCTTAAATCTATTCTTATTGATTCAATCACCTGATGATAATGGTTTCACGAATCTCTGAAAATTTCATTAAATATTGAATACAATAAATATGAGAGGAATCCCGTCTTCATGTTTTGTTTTTTTAAACTGTGATTTTTTTTTTCGTTAACACACATTATTTAGGATGAGAAGACACTTTAATTCTATAAAATTGATTTTTTTCACGCATGCTGAACAGAAAATGTCAATATTCGGGTGTTAAAGGATTGGTCAACTCTTTTTTTTTCTCTTGAAATATCGACGCTTCTTCCTTTACCCCTACTATGATGTAAACAGAACTGGAGGAAAATCGCCATGCAGGAGTGCTGTACAACAATATATTATAAAAGTAATGTACGGCACATAAGATGTAGATCTCATCTCAACTTAAATATATTTTTTTAAATAATTTTCTTTCCAAAATTAGTAGCATCAAAACGTCAGCAGATTGATTTTTTAAAAATAAATGCTGGTTTTTAGCAGAATGTATTCAGAAACTTCAACATGAGAAAAAGGAAACGCTTTCTGTGGTATTCAACTCGACATTTAGATATATCGATGACACAATATCAATTAACAATAGCTTCTTTATCGAAACGAAATTAGTCTTCTTATAGACAAATCAAAATTATCTTACTATAAAACAGGGATTGAACAGAGTTCAAATCCCAAAGAAATGTGGAACTATCTTAATCAATTAACATGTACATGTAATTCAAAGAACATAACATCTCCATCGCATGTGTTCTCTAATAGGGAAATTGTTCATAATTTACAGGACATTGCAAAAACTTTTAATAAACACTTTACGTATGTATCTAACAAGCTTCGTTTGAAAATGCAAAAAACATGATTATAATCCTAATATATCATGTAACTTTGTTAGGTCTAAGCTTCATGAGGAAATCTTCTTTAGTATTCATAATATAATATCAATGAATCAGCTGACATTGACTTTATTGTTCCGCGTCTTCTGAAAGCCGCATCTAAATATATATATGTAAACCTATTACTTATCTCAGTTATGCTAGCATTCCCAACAAATTTAAAACAAGCCAACGTAACACCTATTTTAAAGAAAGGTGACAAAGCTGACCGAATAATTATAGTCCTATAATTTCTATTCTACCAACTGTATCTAAATGGATAGAAAAATATGTAGCTAAGCTACATGTAAATTCATTAATGGATTTGATCTACTAACACAATCCCAGTCGGGGTTTAGAAAAACTCCATTTTTGTCAAAAATCACTTACGAAACTAACAGAAAGACGACTTATAATGCAATGAATCATGGTAAATCAATCGGTATTACATTTATAGATTTTAATACTGTATACACGGTTATTTTCGCCCCGCTTTATTTTCACCCTTTCACCCTTGCATACAATTTTGCCCCGTTTTAAATTCGCCCACTCACAGTTTTGTTTATGAAATTATTCTGTGTTCTTTGGAATCGCCCCTTTTTAAATTCGCCCAACCGGGGTTAGGACGAAAGGGGCGAAAATTTCCCTGTACACAGTAGCGCATTTCATTTGATGAATCATGATATTCCTCTAGAGAATTAATCCATTACAAATTCGACCAAACAGCTGTAAAATGGTTTAAGTCATATCTGTATGACAGGACCCAGTGTGTTAAATTTTGAACATATGTCTCCAATATCCTAACCGTCACATCAGGAGTGCCACAAGGGTCAATTTTGGGCCCACTTTTATTTTTATTGTACATAAATGGCCTTCCATTACATGTAAACAATTCAAATATTGATATGTTTGCTGATGATATTACTCTGTATTCTAATGATCATAATGCAAGATGTTTAGAAAACACTAAATTTAAATCTATGTGAGATTGAGAAAATGGTGTGCTCAAAATCGAATGGTTTTAAATTTAGATAAAACAAAATGTATGATAAATATAACACAGCAAAGAAAAATCGAAAATAGATCATCCAAATTTACAAATTCGTGCCTCAGACAAAGCAACTGAAATAGCCGAAACTGAAAAAAATTCTTGGTGTACATATTGATAACAAGTTACAGTATGCAAATCATATTGATTCAGTTTGTAAAACGGTAAATTATAAGTTATTTACTCTCCGTATGATTAAAAAATTTCTCCCTCTACATACCAGAAAACTATATTACAATGCTAATATTTTACCATCTAGTAACTATTGTTTGATTATTTTTTGTTAATGCCCCCAAGCAGGACAGACTATCTAAATTACAAAAAGGGCAGCAGGGATTCTTCTTGACGCAAGTCCTGATTCTTCCAATATAATCTGATATTGAGTAAAATGCTAACTGGAGGGGGGAAACTAATTGTTTGGTCATTCTTTACATCTTTATTCTTTAGTTGTCTATGATTTTTCGTTTGTTTTTTTTTTTGGTCATGACAAAAAGCACATGGCGGGCGTGACCGGTCGGCATAGGATGCTCAGTTTTTGATGGCACCTTATTCTACCTATGATTTGTAATATCTATGTTTCAAATGTTCTTGATATGTACTGTGAAAATGGACTTCATATTTTCTTTCATTTAAATACTTTAATTTTATTTTGAAATACACATTACCACTTATATGCGCAAAATATTAAAATAGAAGTAGATTGCTTTATTATTTCTTTAACCGAGTTTTAAACACAAATAGATATTGATATTTGCTACCAGCAAGTTAAAGTACTAGCTAGTTCAACACCTGTATCACCGCGCAATTTGAATATTTTTGAAATTGATACTTAATATGGACATTCACCTGTGGAATTCTTCATATGCCAGATTTGCTTATTGTCTGATTACTTGACTACTTGAGCATTTTTATATCATTCCTTTTGATACAGGATTAAAGCATCTATTGGACAAAAATATTCTGATAGTACACACAAGTTCTCTAGTGTTGATATTAAAAAGATGCTTGAGTTTATGATTGACCATTTCTTTGAGGTTTTTGTAGACCAGGTCTTTCAAAAGGGAACAATATAGTATTTTGTGGGCAAATGGAACGATTATTGTAAAACTAAGTCTGGATATATATCATTTATGTATTCTGAGACTATAAATGAACACATGATGACGAACAAGTACTTACATACATTTTAAAAACTTTATTTTCATCTTGTTTGCATTTCTTTTTTAAATGATTTAAAATAACATTAAGCATCATTTCTTAAAATGTTAAAGTGAACTAGGTGAAAAGATAAGAGGAGTAAATCGCTCCAAAATATAATCTACTTTAAAAAGGTGAGTATCATATACTATTCTTAAAACATTTTTTAATATGCATTTATAAAACACAGAGAATAAAATATGAGATCACTGCAATTCCCTTGTATTTTCCCACACACTTGGATTTGGATATGAAAATAAAACATCAACTAGGAAGTAATTAGATGAGTTTTGAGGCCAGCAAATCAGAATTTAATTATGTCAAAAACCATTTGTCACAGCTAAGAACTTAAATTAATTGCACAACTGGAACAATTATTCTAGTACACACTCAAGTGTTTTTCTTCCCTTTATATTTTGCTGTTGGATTTTTATATTTATTTCATTTTCACGATTAATTAATTTAATCAATCTGATTGTCTGAGAAATACGTGATATTTTATTAAAACAAAGTAGTGCACATGTTCTATTGAAATAAAAATGAAACCAACATAAAGAACCATACACAATAATGGAGAAAAAATGCTTTATGGGCAAGTCACAGTGGTTTAGTGGTAAGGCACTCACTTTCTGATCTTGAATTGGGGTGTGTGTTACATATACAAAAACCAAACCTCTTAAAATTGGTCTGCTATGTAAGGAATCGTTCGCTTCGCTTTCTAACACCATTGTTCAGATATCAGAGGTGTTAGAAAATTATGTCAGGCCATGGCTACAATTTAAGAATGGTACAGTTATTTTATTTTGTTTAAGATGAATATTTTTTACTGAATTTTGCTACTACCTCGAAAACATTAGATTTATTTAGTTGTCCATGTAGGTCATAATAAATAATGAAGGAATTTAGTCATATAAAGCAAAATCTTTCAGACACCTCTAAGCTGTTTAATTGCTATGTCCAAAAGGTAATACACAAATAGTATTAGCATTTTAATAAACATTATAAAGAACACTAAAGCATACTTTTTATAGATGTTTTATGGGTCAGAACAAGAAATGCATTATTTTATGCAATGTTAAATATTAGAAATAGGAATGCTGTAGTATCCTCTTATGCTTCTAATCACGTGAGACGTCAAAAATAGGATCCCCATCTGGTGTACGGACCCATCTTCTGGTCTGAGTGTCAGGGTCTTCTTCGTACACCCAGCCTGTAACTGTAGAACGACAATAATATAAACAAATATATGTAACTGTAGAACAATAATAATGTAAACAAATATATGTAACTGTAAAACAATAATAATGTAAACCAAACCTGTAATGATAAAACGATAATGATATAAACCCAGCCTGTAACTGTAAAACGATAATAATATAGACCCAGTCTGTAACTGTTAAACGATAATGATGTAGACCCAGCCTGTAACTGTAGAACGACAATAATATAAACAAATATATGTAACTGTAGAACAATAATAATATAGACCCAGTCTGTAACTGTAAAACGATAATAATATACACCCAGACTGTAACTGTAAAACGATAATAATATAGACCCAGTCTGTAACTGTTAACGATAATAATGTAGACTCAGCATGTAACTGTAAAACGATAATAATGTAGACCCAGCATGTAACTGTTTAACGATAATAATGTAGACCCAGCATGTAACTGTAAAACGATAAAAATAAAGACCCAGTCTGTAACTGTTAAACGATAATAATGTAGACCCAGGCTGTAGCTGTAAAAAGATATTAATGTAGACCCAGTCTGTAACTCTAAAACGATAATAATATAGACCCAGTTTGTAATTGTAAAATTATAATAATATAGACCTAGACTGTAACTGTATGACGATAACAATACAGACCCAGACTGTAACTTTAAGTCTGTAACTGTAAAACTATAATAATATAGACCCAGTCTGTAAATGTCAAACAATAATATAATGGACCAATTTAAGCCAGTATGTTTTAGACCTAAACAAATTAATTAAAATAGAAAAAATATATTTAGCATATACGAATTTATAACTTTTATTTTATTTCAAGTGTAATACATAACTCATTACAAATATGTGAACTAAGACTATTGCACTAGGAAGGAATATACTTATTCGCTTCACAGTATAAACGATATTTAAAAACTATTTTTACCTATTTTTATCATTTATGTATTTATTATATACAACAAAATTGAAACACAATATGTTTATGAAACGCTGATGGTCCTGTATAACAACCCGAGGTCAAGGTTAAAGTTTTTAAAATGTAGGTAACACTCAAAGGTCAAGAGTTCATACAGTGTTTAAATATTGAAACCGAATGAAAGAACCTGAAACACGAAATACATGTAAAGTAAAAAAAGAAAGAAAACATTAACTATTCGAAAGTTTCGGGCAAGGTCAACGAGAACAAACATATAAAAAGACAATCATAAGTATATTCAGACAGACATGTAGAATCCCCCATCCCTTCCAAAAAAAGAAACAAATCTTCAATTTATGGGGCATAAAAATCATTATCTTTTGGGTGAAAAAAGAATGAATTATAATTGGTAACTTAAACACACGAGTCTCAAACATCTGCGGGAGTACAACACTTTTTGAATTTAATGTCAACCATTGTTGAAACGAGATCCTACATTAATTTTGTTCCCCTTTAACATGTTTAACACATTTACGTAGACCTTAAATTGTTAACTTATAACAGATTTGAAATTCTTCAGTAATTTATATATAAAGTAATTTTTTTGCGGGAGGGGGGGGGGGACATCTAGTAAATTCTTTTACATGTACACGACAGCAAAGTCATTTTTTAAGTCCTTAGACGTCTACATCTATGTTGGACTCACTTTTTATTATTCCCTTAAATTACGTCTTTGTAATAACATAATTTAAGTTTTCTTGTATGCTATGTATAAAAACTTTGATATATCATTTGACATCAGTTTACAGGTTATTTTACGTATGTCTCCCTACAAAAATATAAATTTTAATAATTTTTATATTTGAAAGATAAAATAAACGGTTTCCCTTCTATGCATAAAATCATAAAATATGAAGTTATCTGACATTTAAGACCACCAAAACTCACCAAAATCTCGCTTTCTGTGTGCATTAAAAAGAGCTGGTTTAGTAGGAAGGGGTGTTGAGGAATTTGACATCGTGTTACCGAGGAGAGAGGGACTTAAAGTGACGCTTTTGAAATCCTGTCTAGAAGATAAGACAGATGGGTCGGGGGATGACCTATCAAAACCTGGCTTCGCTGATGATGGAACATTTATCAAAGGACCATCAAATGCCTCTACTTTCTCAACGTCATGTAGCTTGGAATCTGTGAAATGAAAAAAAAATCTCAAAATATATTACAAATTGAAAACGCAAAGAATGATAAATTTTCTTTCTTCGTCTTTAAATCGATAAAAAAAAAGTTCTTGACACAAATATGACCATGTTTTTCCTTCTTTTTTTGAGATGATTTTTTGAAGAATCGCGCATAAAAAGTAAAGATTATTGCTTGCGAAAAACATTACATTTCAAAAAATAAAAACAAAGAACCAGGTAATAATTTCATGGAAATTTAAGGCAATGCTTAGGTCATATTGCTTTGATTTATTTTTTTTTAAATTCTGTATTAAACGTTTTAATAAATTCAAATTATATGAATAAAATATAATTTTGAATATACAAAGAAATTTTTGAAAGCGAAAACAAATTGATACCTGAAAGTTGGAGAGGGGTTACAACTGAAACGGTTGTCGTTGTTGTTTTGGTGGTTGGGTTTTTGTTGTGAGTTGTCTCGCTTTCCTCGTCAATAGACAGTCGTCCACCTTTTCCTCTGATCTCAATTATCTGAACTCTGGGCCTCTTTGTGGTTTCATTGTCTCTATCAGATAGAAAATAAGGAAAACAAATACAGATTATGAAAACTTTGAAAAAAGACAGTGATCATATTTTCATCATCGTCATCATCATCATCATCATCATTGTTTCTGAGGTGAAAGTATAGTAGCACATTTAATGATCCTCATCTTTCATTCCAATGGCTTATAAAAGATATGACACATTTTCATTCATTATCATCATTCATCAGCTATTATAAGTATTAGGAATGCTCACTTTTTCTTTCTACGTAATTTCCTTCTCCAGACCAAGTAAAAAATAATAATAGCTGCTAAAACAGCTAGAAGAAGTCCAAAAAATATCCCAAGAATCAATCCCAAGTCGTCCTTCTCCTCTGGTGCTGTTACCTTTTCGGGCGCAGGGAAGATGAGTTTGTCTCCAAATGGAACAACTTTTTCTATTCTATATTTATCCCATGATTTTTCTACAAGATTTATTGACCTGAATAGTACAACCGTAGGAAAAAACTGTTCTATAAAATGAAAAGGCTAAGCTAAGAAAATCTTCTCTTTTCTCATTTCAGTGCATTTACCGTTTACGATTACAGTTGAGAAGAATAGTACTACACTATGAAAAACTGTTCTATAAAACAAAACGGCTACACAAAGAAAATCTTCAATGTATTTACCGTTTACGATTACAGTTGGGATTTCACTAGGATTAAGTTGAAGGAGGTTAATGAATTCCCCATTTGTAACGAACTTTTTCTCTTTCTGCAAATTGTTTATGTTTTCTGTTATATCATTTTTAACAGCATAAACATGTACAAGAACTGATCTGAAATAAAAATATAAAAATAATTTAGAAAATATGCATCTTTTTCCTTGTTACTTCACTAATCTTGAAAGCAATATATTTTGTGAATGATGACAATGAGAAAAAAATTAAAACATGTAATAAAATTACAGCAATATTAATATAACAGGTCGGGTGATCTGTTCAAACTAAATTTAACTATAGCTGAATGCCGTTTTATTTTTTATAGCAAATATAGAAAGTTTGATTCAAATTCATCTTCACTCTAGATTAATTTTATTTTGTAAAAAGACAATGAACATTCGAATTTCAAACAAGTGATATTAGTTTCAGTGTAATTTTTTCTAAATATTAAAAACATGCTTGGAAGATTTGAAGAACATGACAAATAATTAATTTGAAATAATAGTGAAATCGTTTACTTTACAAAGTAAAAAACACATTGCAACACCGTTGTAAACTATACAGCTGTAGTAAACATCAACCATTACTAATGATAGTATTTTTAAGTAAACGATTAAAACTATTTTATCAATTAATAAACAATTACCTGACTTTATCCTCTACACACCACTTTCTAACATATGCTGTTGGAAAAGACGCCCTCAGTACCTCCTTTATGTGATTTAATAGTTCCTCCTCAACGGATAAATAGGATACCAAAGTTAAGTCGAGGTAAAATGAGATGACAGTGTCTTCAGGGTCAAATCTATCTATTCTAACGATGGCATTCTTTAAGGACTTCAACTGAGGGTCTCCTTTATCTGAGGATATTATTTCTATCGTATATTTAGCTTTTTGGAGCTCTGCATTTGCTTTGATTATTCCTACAAAAGACATTGTTTTAACACATTTTAATTGTCCTTCAATATTAAAAATACTATACAAAAGATAATAATAAAAAGCGTTTTAGTTGTTTATTTACCGGAATCATCGACCACGAATGGTCCAGGATTATCAGCAAGAAGACTATAGGTAACAAGGGCATTACTTCCTATGTCACTGTCTACAGCAGTAACTACAGTTATAGAAGCATCACAATAATCGTTCAAAGACGCTTCTGAATTGTAAAAATCAGGAGAGAACTGTGGTCTGTTATCATTGACATCTTGGACAAATATGGTCACATTTACTTTCGAAGACAGAGGGGGCAATCCACTATCCCTTGCTATAATGGTGAAAGTAAAACTGTCGTATGTTTCTCTATCCAAGCGCTCTCTTAGAATAATATCACCAGAATAGGATCGCACGCCGAAGAACGAATCAAAAGGCGTCCCTAGCTGTGTAGTAAAATCTATTTCATACTTGATTTCTCCATTCAGGCCTTCATCCGAGTCTACAGCTCCAGTAGATAAGACTTTGCTTCCTCTGTCAAGGTTTTCTAACACGTATACAGAATATTCTTTTTGTCCAAACATTGGTGTATGGTCATTTATATCTTCTATTGTGACGTTCACAGTGACCTCCGCAGACCAGTGGGGAGATCCGCCATCTTGAACTCGGATCCACAATAAAAACTCTGATTCTAACTCACGATCAAAATCTCCAACTGTATAGATTTCCCCTGAAGTGTCATTAATACCGAACATGCCTGAGGCACCTTTCCAGTTGGTAGCTATGCTATATCTTAGCTTGGAATTTATGCCATCATCATTATCGGTCGCTTTGATCAAGGCAAACACTGTTGGAGAAACTGTGTGCTCTTTGACTGAGAAAATATAAGAAGACATTTCGAAAACTGGATATTCATCATTGACGTCAATAATATTAATAGTGGCCGTTACAGATGTGGATTTTGATGGAATTCCACTATCGGTAACCTGAATAACTAACTCATACTTGTCTAAACGCTCCCGATCCAAGTCTGATGCCACCTGTAAGATTCCATTGTGAGAATCTAGTTTGAAACTAGAGTACAAATTCCCCGATAATATAGTATAGTTAAAATTTTCATCGTAATTGTCATCAATATCATTGACAGTAAAAGTAAATATTATTGTTTCTTTCAAAACATTTTCGGGAACAGTAGCATCATAGGTTCCGATGAAGAGTGGAGCATTGTCGTTAACATCAGTGAGAAAAATCTCGAGTGTAAAAAAGCCTTTTAAGGAAGGGGTTCCTCTATCCACTGCAGTTATCAACATGTCGTATCTTCAACAAAGGAAATAATATTAAAAGACTTTACGGTATTTAAAGTTTAAGCAAACACACAAAAATGTAGTTGAAGTATGGTTACCTGCTTGTTGTTTCTCTGTCAAGCGAATTTTTAACAGTCACAATGCCGCTGTCGGGATCAATTTGAAAAGGGACCGCAGAGTTTGATACAAATGTAAACTTATTGTTGCCGTTTAAGGATGAGTCGGCATCTGTAGCAAACACCTGAATCACAGATAGTCCAACCAAGGCGTCTTCTGAAATCCATTTTCGTATGGAAGAGGAAGAGAATTCTGGTGGGTTGTCGTTGACATCTATAATGTTTATTGTGACTGTACAGACTTCAAATGTTGAAGGGAAACCTTGGTCCGTAACTTGGATTACTAGAACAACAGACTTGGCGTTTTCAAAATCGGGTGGGGATGCAACACTGATTTCACCAGTTGTTGGGTCTATTTGAAAGTAAGAGTCTTCATTTCCTGAGAGTATGGTGTGACGGAGTAACCCATTTGTTCCGCCTGTATCTGCATCAATAGCAGAGACTGTTCCTACACTGTAACCAGCAAGTGTGTTTTCTGCGACGGAGAATCTGAAAATTAAATTTAATTCACAGATACGAAATTTAGTAGAAATGTTACAAAAAAGACCTTAGTGAAATATCTATCGTTCATCAATATTTTAAGAAATCTCAAGGAGTGTTTTTTTTCTTCATGATGGATTTGGCAGAAGAACCAGTCAATATTGTAATTGTTGTAAATTGAATAAACAGGGTTACTTTTTTAGTACGTAGCACGAAGAGCAAATAATGATATAGAAATTTATTTATAAAACCTACACATAATTTTTTTTGCTGAATCTTGGACGTTCATTAACGTCAGTTACAGTGATTTGCACCGTTGCGGTTGATGATTTAGTACCATCCGAAGCCACGATGTCTAATTCATAGTAAGAAGTTTTTTCTCTGTCCAATGGTTTAGTCAGGATGACTTCTCCACTCCTAGAATCCAGTAAGAACTCCGAATAAGTCGTTCGGAAGGAGTAGATAAAAGGATCATTATCAGGATCCTCGGCCGTTACGGTGGCTATGACAGTTCCTGTATCTGTATCCTCTCTGAAGAATTTTGGTATATCTAGAAAAATATGCATTTAAATGTTGACTCAATATGATTGTATATTTTTTTTAAATGAGGCTAATTCTAATGCAAAGTATTTTGCTTTTTGCCTCAACTACAAGATAGATAATGTTTTTATTTGATCGTACTTCGACATTCATACAATACATGCATACACAGTAGAATAGCAATTCAATTGTTAAATTATGCAAACCTGGGTGTATAAATTTGGGTGGTCCCTCGTTTTCATTTATGACGTTTACTGCGACTCTAACTTTTGTTGTGTAATAGCCATCTCTGATGCTTATTTCTATATTGTAGAATTGCGTTGTCTCATAATCCAAGTTCCCTGGTATGAAAAAACAATTCATAAAAAGGTATATAGATTATGGATATTAAATTACTTCTTAATATCGATCATTTTATACAAATTTTGTAGAGCTACATGTACACGTCTTTATTAGTCAGCCTAGTTATCTCCTAAAAATAGCAGCTAAATTCAGATGCTTAACTAACCAGGGGATGCTTCATTTTGAACACATTCAAGGAAAACATGTTTTACAGAAAGATTCAATAATGTTCGTCTGGACAATAAAAATAAAAGTAGAACGAATACACGATGCAATTACATTTTAACTTGCAAAAGTTTATTAACCATAATTATTGTTTCATTAAAATGACTAAAAGTTTTTGCCTGTATCTAAGTCAGTAGAATAAATGAAATTAAATTCACATAAAAATTGCCTTTAATCGTGAGCTGTCCCGAGGTTCCCTCAAATGCATTGTCACTGGGAATCTGGTTGACGGAATAAGAAAGGTCATCAAGATCTCGATCAGAGCATCCAAAGTTTGGAATAATCACACTGCCTTTTCCTGTATACAAAAGACATCAAGATGATTACAAAACTAATAAATCTTTCTATAAAAAAAATTAAAGACAAAAATGTATCATTTTTTCCGTAAAGGTATGTGTTTTTCTTCTTATTTTGAATAAATAAGTCATTCCATGATATTTTATTTCAGGAGATATTTGTTTTGCATAAAAACGGTACGTGTGTAAAAATATTATCTGCATTAGTCTTACTTGTCAGTTCGGATATCCTGACATTAAAGACAGTTTTTGGACAATAGGGGGCGTTGTCATTGACATTCTGTACCGACACCGTGACGGTTCCGGTCCCCTGGAATTAAACAGAGTTCAATTGCAACATAGGTATGGATATTTTTTTCTTCTAGTTTTTGCATTTCTATTCATAACCATGGGTTTGTTTTCAAGTAAAACTAGAATTTAAAAAAAACAATGTACAAGTTGCAAATCAAACAAATACAAACCCATAGTCACAATTATACATAAAATGAATCATATTTTGGACGAATTATAATGTAAATGGTTTATTGTCATGGATTGGGTTTCCCCAAAATATAATTATATGTTTTATATTGGATAAACTGTGTTTCATCCCCAGGTGTAAACAATGTATTCATGGATATCCAGTTTTATAATTTTGACAGAGTTCTAGCTAAATCCATTCATATTTTAATCGCGTAACATCCAAACATCAATTATAGATTAAACAAAAGTATTGAAATAATCAAAACTTCATCATAAGCACACCTGAAACATTTAACTTTTAATGAGAACATGGTGAATAGATTAAACTTGATCTGTAAACAGATGAAACATTATCACGCGAATCGCATTGTACCTTTGAGGTTCCTCCATCGTCCGCCGCCACAATTATCCTGTACAGCGGGACCGTTTCAAAATCTAAATAGTGCGTTAGGTATATTTTACCAGTCACACTGTCCATCATAAAGGCGTCTATTGCAGTATTTTGTACTGGAAGACAAGAACACTTAATCTTGCAATTAATTCAAGTTCCTTTGTAGTATCTATGACTGACAAAGCCACAATCATTTTAGTAACATTAAAAAATGTTACATTAAAAAAGGTATAAATATTAACCTTTTTTGTAAATATATTTTCTCAATCACAATCACAATGTCCGTGTCTTAACATTTTACTCGACAATATTTCAAATGAAAGTACATTTACCTGACACTATTTCAAAAGAGAGTACATTGTCGGGATAAGCGTCGCGGTCAGAGGCGGTCAATGATGCGATCTCTGTACCAGGTGTTGTATCCTCTCTAACATCCACTGAGAGCGGATCCAACAGAGGAGGGTATTCATTTATAGGATTTAAATTTACCAAAACGATTACAGAAGCTGTATGCACGGTGTCTGTCACTTGTATATTAAGGAGGTAGGAAAAAATTCCTTTATCATAATCCAATTCTGAAAAGAAATCAAAATTGTAAGTAACAAAATTATATGAGATCAAACCCTTAACCTTTATATATAATAGGGTGTCGTCCATCAAGGTTTGATTGATTACTGAAAAATTACCACGTTTAACTCTCACTGCGCCACTGGATGTTATATCAAGGTCCCCGCGATCCCCGGATGTAATCGTATAACGTAGATCTGTACCAATCTCTTCATCCAAGCAAGAAATATTAAGGACCTATGGAGGCAAAAAAAAACAGTAACATTGTCGTATACACCAAAATCGTAAGGAATTATTGAGGAGCAATGAAAATAACTCTGATTCACTGAAATATTGAGAACCTACAGAAACACACAAAGCAACAATTTTCTTTGACACACAGAAACACTAAGGGCATAAGAGGCAATAAATAATAATTTTAATTTAAACAATATTTTATTATGAATAAACATAATTGGATTGGACAGCAGGCACTGCCTATATAAGTCCTTTCCACAATAATCGAATAAAATATATTTAAATTGTAAAATTAATCTTAATATTTAAATGCAATTTTTTTTCACTCGACACCGTTTAAAATAAACAGAAAGATAAAATAAAATTTTGCTTTCATTACAAAATGTATTATTCTAGACGATCAAAATTAAAAGTATTAACCTTTACATTAATTTTCAAGGACATCATACTTATTGATATGAACTAACAGTGTTTCCAATCGAGATGTTCTCGCCTACGGTTTTCTTGTAGTGGTCAGGAGAACACACGGGAGGGTTATCGTTCACATTAGTCAGCGTGATGTTGACCACCGCGGTACTGGTGCGAGCTCCCCCGTCCTTGACCTCTACTGTCAGAGAGTAGGATGACCTTGTCTCAAAATCTAGTCTTCTCTTTGTATAAATCTTCCCTGAGGTTTTTAGAATGAAGAAAGCATCGTCATCGTTTCCATCTAATTTGTATTAAGATAATCTTAGTATTTCGAAATGCAAGGGTGTACTTTATGTTTTTCTTCGTCTTTGATGGAGTCAAAAATATTTTCCACAAGGTATTTCTATTACTTACAGGCACCAATAAAGTGAGAGAAAATACAAAAAGTACGGCAAAATGCAAAAACATATGATTAAAAATTCCACTCTTACATATGAAATTACATACACTACACGTACGACGAAAAAATATTAACGTATCAGTTGGCCCAAAGAAAAAGGAAATATTTAAAAGACACAAATGACAGAGTGCCATTTTTAAAAAGAACTAAATAAACAACTTTCAAAAACAAATGCGACGTTTATCAATATATTTGTTTTATAAAATATTTTGATGCATTTCATTCCCCCATTAAATCTTTTCAACAAGGTGTAATCTAGCCGTTACCTGTAATCTGGTACGTCAGTTCCCCGTGGATCCCTGCGTCATTATCCGAGGCAGTCACCGTCAGCACTTCTGTTCCTACCTGAGTATCTTCAGGAATCTAAATGTTTCAATTTTTTGTTGTAAATAAAATTACGTACATAAGGACAAAACCAACACTTTGAATAATATTGAAAATGCCAGACATTAATTGACGAAATTCAAGTGCTTGTATTTGTATATACTTGCATTTATTGTACTGGAGAAAGAAAAATTCCCTAATTATTTTTTTTTTCACAAAAAATGTGTGAATAATATGAAAAAATCTTCATTATTTTAGACTTATCTCTAAGAGTTATCTAGTGGGCAACAATTTTATTTCGTTAGCCTTTAGATAATTAAGGTTGTATGAATCGATTCGATGGTCAAGTTAATAATCGTTGGTGGGAAAGTATGTCTGTAGGTATGTGTGACATGAATTCATACATTCTGTCTGTGTGTAAAATCTTTAATTTCCCTGGCACAGTCTAGATCCGCACACACTCTTCTTTTTTTCGTATGTGGGGTGCACAGAATCTCTGAATTAAGTGATATGATTTATTATAAAACAGAAGTTTACCGCTTGACTGATAGGCTGTCCATGGATTTTGGGGTCGTACTTGTTGACCGGAAGTACATTAACTAAAACAGTCATTGTTCCTGTTCTCTGTTTACCAACTGATGGGGTATCAGTTGCTATGACAACGAGTTTGTAGAGGAAGTTGTCAGCTGCCATGATGTCATAGTCTACGGGAGTACTGGTTGTCAATATCTGGTTATTGATGACCTTGAACTTTGGCGTTGAGTCATCTCCCGTTGCTATGGATACTGTTGTGCAACCAGGATTGGGCCCTGTGTCCGCGTCAGTGCACGTCAGTACAGCAACAACGGAATCTATAATGTAATATACAGTATAAAACATGGTCTTCTTAAAATAAATTTACAGTCAAACCTAATATAAGAGGTTGGAATTCCTAAACCACAGCGACATATTTATGTAGTATTTGAGATATTAGTGTTCAGGACTGTTTAAAATTCAATATAAGATCATATAAAAGCTTCATACAATTAACCTAATTTACTCTATTGTTGAACTTTTGACCTTTGTTACTCCTAAACCGAAATCTCAAATACAAAGGGTTGGTCAAAATAAGTTTGCAATCTATATATGCCACTTTTTCTTTTTAATTTTTAAACCTTGCTGTGTCGAATGATCCGATATCTTGAAAAACGATGTTAGTCCATTTGACATACGAGAAATATGCAAGGAAAGGATTAGATACTGGTAACTTATTTAAACATTCATTTGAAGCAAAAACCATATCATCCTTGTAAACAATGGTAAATTACACGATTAAACATAAAAAGTCTTTTTGTTTATATAGAGGACATTCTAAATTGTTTCTTTTTACCCATACCCTGTGGAGAACTTTCATTTATGCTGACAGTCAATATTGTTGGTATAAACTTTGGTGCATTTCTGTTCATCGGTCTGACATTGACTACAAAGCCGATTAACATCCCATTTACAGCCAAGGTTTTATTTTCATGTTGAACACTGTAAAAAGACACACATTATACAAATCAGCAACTCTGCAAGCAAGTAAAAAAAGTCCAAAAACTCCACATAATACTACACAAAAGTCCGAAATGACACCTGCAGCTCTTAATGGACTCTTACGAGGAGGGCTGACTTTTACAGTAAAATTTACGGCTTAATTTTACACCAGGGCTATCTCCAGAAGCTCTTTCACGAAACAAATATTTAGCTCAACATTTAGTTTAACGAAAATGATGGTTTATTTCGAAACACAAATAAGTTTCCTTGAGGAAAACGACAACCACCCTAACCTCAACTCCCGGCCTTCACAGCTTAATCCCAATAACACCATGCCTATTTGCATTAGAAAGATTTCCTCATTTATTATTAATTATGTATCTCTGTTTAAATGTCAAAGTAAACCGTCAACTGTAAAAGTTAATGCTTCTAGCAAAAGCCCAATTATTATAATAAATAGAAAGTCCTATCTTTATATAAAGTAACGAAACAAACAGAAAATATTTTGTTTTAGTAAGTCTGAATTTATCAAATTTAATACGCCTTATAGGACATTTTCGTGATTGACCAGCAGCAAAAACTCAACTGCAAAAAATCGATCGGGTCAAAGCAAAAAAGTAAAAAGAACGAAGTCGGGATTATGTATCCTCGCAAACCGTCACACCGGCCATTTGGTCCTTGTTATGATCGGACAATCGGAAAACTTATAATATTTCATGTGAAAATAATGTCTCAACAATTTGTAGGGAAAATATCTATCATTATTGAATAATATGTTTTTGCTTACAATGATATTTTATCGACCATAGAGTCAGCTAAATGTTGACTAAACACGGGCAATATTTATTGAAGATGACAACCATCACTATTAAAGCTTAAAGTCTATCTAAACATTGTAAATAAAATGTTGAGTGAACACTGATCTATTGATAAAAGAGATCAAATTCTATGGAGATGTAAGGATCCTCAAAACCAATAAATTCTAAAAAATAAATATGCCTAAATAAATAAATATAAAGAGTAACAAATACGAACCTAACAATGAATACATAACGCTTTTTATCCACAAAGTCTAATGGTCCGGATACTGAAATTATTCCATCAGCTGGATTTATATCGAATTTTCCTGGGCCTGCTCCGAAGAATTTATACACAATTGCATGACCATCCTTATCCACGGCATTCACGTCATAGATAACGGTTCCTGTTGTTGCGTTCTCATCCACAAATACAGTGACGTCGCGCGGATAAACAGTAGGGTCGGCTGCTAAAACACCTTAATTAAATACAATTTTTAAATGCATTCCTATTGTATAATCATAACACTCAAATAAGCATTTCCAAAATTGCTTTGTTTAAAAAAATTCTGATTGTACATGTTGTATGTATACACGTCAAGTTCTCTGAAGTTGATGTTAACAGATGCTTGGGTTTCTGATTGACAATATCTAATCAAGCAATAATATGGATTTTGGAGACCAGGTCTTTCAACAATCTATTAAAATTTCCATGCATAAAAAATTGCGCCCCGTTATTTGCAGACCTATTTTTTTATTTATATGAAGCAGAATTTGTCCAATTTTTTTTTTTACATGAAAAGAAGAAACACTTTCTGTGGCCTTCAACTCGACATTTAGATTTATGGACGACGTATTGTCAATATATAATAGTTCCATTCTAATGTACGTGAACACGATAATCCTCGTTAGATTGAGATAAAAGATACCACAGAGTCTGACACATCATTCTGTTTCATATTTAGATCTTTTACTGGATAATGACATTAATTGTTATCGTACAACAAAACTTTGACATCAATATTTGTTATCTCACAACAACACTTTTAAGAAATAAATCGTGATGACTGTCTTTTCAATCGTCAACTTCCCTTACTTATGCAGCATTGTGTACCTTTGTCACCTGCATACGGATTTTATATGTCTTAGTTGTACTGTAGAGTGTGTTCTCCTTAAGAACAATTTTTAAAACGATTTAAGTTAATGACAAACAAATTGATGAAGCAAGAATATCAACAATCATAATTTTTTTGAAAGGCATGTTTGATGGAGTTTTGAGCTCGAATACTGTTTGTTATCTCCGCATATTTCATGCCTTTCGTTATCTACTCATATTTGTCATATTTTGTCTATGCTTCTTCTCTGTTGCCCTCCCTGCCCCCCCCCCCCCCCCTCCTCAAGATCTCCATTTGATATTGTATTTAAATTTCTTGACTATTTTTCTGCGTTAGAGATATAGAAACAATTCAATTGCAGTCTGATAGGATATGATATATAATTGTATTTAGTATATATTTGCCTCGGTCAATATCGATATTTTTCTGGAGAATAACAAACCATATTAAAACACCAAAAGAGTCCATAATTATATGTTATTATACTTGTATTTATTTATTGACTGGAATGCTTGGATATCCAATATAAAATTTGCTCAACTTAACTACAAACTTATTATTGATAAATGAGGTATATGCGTATAATTTAGTCTTAAAATTAACTTTAAAAGGGTCATTTTTAATTGAATCGGATTCAAATGAAATATATTTTACTTACTTGTTGCAGCGGATAACAAAGCCAAAAGGACAATAGTGAAATTATTATGAGGCATCTTCCCATACAAATCTTAAATAATCATTTTGTTTGAGAATGAATATCAATCCTTTTTAAAGTAAAGAAATATTATTTTGCTCAACGCAAAGAATTCTGTTTAAAATTCACCGACCTGGGATTTCAAATATTCAAATTAGTAATGGAATATTTTAAATCAATAGTGTTGAACTACAGATATAAATAAATTTAAATTTACTGTCTAGTCAGAGTGTGTTCCGTGTATACGTAATGGCACTTAAAATCTGATTTATGCCAAAACAGATGTAAAATTCAGCATTGGAATTTGTTTAATATAATTTTTGACATGCATAAAGTGATATTTAATAATTTAAAAAAAAAACAACAGTGAGAAAGAGTGGGTGAAATATGGCAATAATCAATGTAGGCTAGTGTAATTTATAAACTTCAAGTTTAAAAAAAAAATTCTTTATGTGTGTTTTAAAACTTTATAAAAAAAAATGTAACAATAATTATGATCTAATCTAAAGTTCTTTTTTTCAACTTGTCAATTCATTAAATCATTGACGTAATGGATTTATAAAAACTAACCTTATCAATTATGTCTCTACAAACCAGCAGAATTTAATGTTTGTCCATAAAACTAATAGATATCTATATCTTAACATATATAGCACATTTTTTACAGAATACTGAATGTTAAATTTTCAACTGCCTTTCGGATTTTATTTGAAAATACATAAAAAAGAGAACCTTGCTTCTCAAAATTCCGTTATTTTTTTCCACTAAACATGCTCAAATTTTTAGAAAATGTTGAGACACAAATAGTCCGATAACAATCTTCGAAATCTTAATAACACTATTTAATTCTATCTCCGATTCTGACTCTAGGTTAGTGGGGCAATTGTGATATCATTAAATTATATTTGCTGACGAGGCTGACACAAGGTTGTGGGCATTTAGCAGTTTATCTAGCTCAGATTTGGAGCAAATATCAAGTGGCAATCAATTATCTCCAAAAAAGTAAGCCAGATTCCTCAATGTAATGAAGGAAGACATCATTTTCATCACATCATCACATACGTGCACTGGAACACCAGACCTCTGTGCGTTGTATTATATCTAAAATCTTTTTCTAACGTCTTGTAAAGTAAAAGCTTGATGTTTTCTTGTCTTTCACCAGACGGGCATCAAGCATGTTCCAGTCCACAGAAAATAATTAAAGATGCAAAATTGGAACATTTTTGGAGAGAAGAAAAGAATATTCACACCAGGAAAACAAAATGCTTAATGCATGGGGAAAAGAAACAAAGTCAAAAAAGATTTCCAAAGGAAAGTATTGATGTTGACAATGGTGAACTGATAGAGCTTCTTAATGGAAACAAAGAAAAAATAGCGACAATAAGAAGAAGACATGAGAAAAGGGCCATGTCAGTAGACGTTGCATGTTTTCCTAACGGTTCAGAATCAAAGCCTTTAGGACATTTTCTTCATGTTTACCAAAGCAAGGTTGCCCGCTCGTTTTCACCGCATTGAGATATGCCTGTTTGGGGTTTTTTTTTTCAGAATATATAGTAAAAGATGTGCTTTTGTATTCCAGAGATGCTCTGAAATTATTAGACTGTTTATGTTAGTGGGACAATTCAAAATAAACACATTCATTGTTGGACAATGCGCTTCAAGTCGACTCTTGTGACTAATTAATACGCAGGGATTTCTGTTTGTTATGTGAAATGCGAATATTCTGAACCAAGATATTCAAAAAGTGCAAATATATTGTGTAACACTGCATTTAGCATTATTATTCCTATATCATTGTTATGTCCTAGGTAAGTAAAATACTTAACATAATTATCTTGGCGTCAGACAGTGCTAGATTTTGTTAAATATTTGGACAAATCGTTCAGTGGTATTTCTGTGATGACTTTATCTTTAAAACTTCAATCTTCAATGTAGTTATTTTAATTGTTAATATTATATTGAAAGGTTGAGAATAATTGGATTCTAAATATGCTTAACGCTCGCTATACCAAGCCGTGCATCCACGGACACAATGTTCCATTTTTTATACTTTTAATCCATTAATGCTTTAGGACTCAATTAAATTTTAATCAGGAAACATTAATTTAACCTTGATATGTAACCTGTATGATGAAATTTATTTATTTATTTATTTTATTTTTTATTTTTTTTTTTATAATGTTTTATATTTGAAAATTTTCATACATACAAAAGGACAAAAATACACTCACAAACACACCCTCACACACCACACACACTCTGTGCACCTATCCCAAAATACCAGCTTTTCATAATTACACCTAAAGTGATAATTAAATTTTTTATATACGACAAATCAAATCAAACATTGCCCATTTACCAGACATTTTAGTTCTACAATGAAAATGTTCCTGTAATACTTAAAGATGTTAATTGCTTCTGTAAATTTAGGTATAGTACATTGAGTTCTTGAGTAATACAAGTACTTTTTTCCTAACAAGATTAGAAAATTTTCCAAACAACTTCCTTCAATATTACCCAGCATCACCTATTCTTTTGAAATTACATGATCATTTTCAATAGCATGATACCAATTTTCAAAATCTTTCCAAAAGAGGTTACATGTTTACAGTCATAAAAAAGATGAATCAGTGTTTCTGGGTCTGTTTTACAGAAAGAACAAAAATTATTTTCAGCAATCTTTATCTTATGAAGAAAAGAATTTGTGGCAAGGAAGACCATAAGAATTTTATATTGAAAGTAAATTATTTGGTGTCTTTTGTGCAAATTGATGGAAAAATTCCCAGTGTTTTTCTGTAATGGGTTTACAATGTATTTAAATAAACTTCTTGGATTCTGGTGCCACAAAATTCTTATCTTTCATAATTTTATACAGAAATTTTATACTTGTCACAGACATCATTTTTTGTAAAACACATTTCTCTGGTGCTGCAAATTGATTGCCTCTTTCTGTCATATAAACAGTTACTTCCCTTTTGACTCTTGCTGGTACTCATGATACAATACTGTATTAAAATAGTTTAAAAAATTATTAGTACCAACTATTTTTTAACATCCTTAAAACACTTAAATTTTCCATCATCTGACAACAAGTCTTTCAGTACTTTAAAACCTTTTTCCACCCAAGTCGTGTAAAAACTCCATTTTTTAATATCAACAAAATTTCTAATATCAGTATATAAGTAATCTGTAGCACTCAAAGAATCCTTTTTAACAATTATAAGAGATTTTATAACATCTTTCCAAAAATCATTATCAATATAATTTTAAAATTCTGAGAGTTTTTCTTTGGTTAAGTTAAAAAATTTTTTATTGTGTATTGTTTAATGTCCCTCTCGAGAATTTTTCACTCATATGGAGACGCCACCACTTGTAGGTGGAGAGCTACTGATTTTGTCCTTTACTTAGAATTCATTGAAATTACTGCGTCATTTTTTTTAAAACTCAGGGTAAACAGAATTTTTAAACACCTCTTTGTACTAAGCAATTTACATGAAGATATGTGTCATTTGTGCACAAATGCTTTTACTTGCGAGATGCTCTACATGAAATCAAGTTTGATAGTTTGATTGGCTTAATTCGATCAAAACAAATATTAACTTTTTAGGTTATTGAAATGTAAACTCGCGAATTTTATAAGTCATAGTCATTGATAAAAAAGGAAAATCAATTCTTTAATCAGAGGAACAATAACCTTAATTCATTTGGAAACTATATATGTATGATGTTTGAAATCTTGGGGATTCGTCTCGCACTTATTAGCTGAACATCTTATATGAAAAATGTCAGTCTACATTCAACTGGAGTACAGTTGCTTAAACAATAAAAATAATAGCAACTGAATTTCGCAGGTGCAATAAATCATGTTCTTTTTTGCTTTACAATGAATACCTAAAAACTCTCCGAAACATAATTTGGAAGATTAATTATTTTTATTCAAAAAAAAAATATATATACGTTTTTAAAATAATAAATATAAACAATGTTTTTTTTTTTAATTCAACACAGTTTTAATTGAATACTTCTATGAAATATGTTGAGATGACGAACAGTATTTTAGCTCAAAAGTCCATTAAACAACACAAATTATGGCGTGGAGTAACAAGGACCTCTGAAACATCAAAGATGTGATCAGGTGACATGGAGGAGTGAGTATTCTGCCAACCGGTCACAACATGCGCTCCTTTTCATGAAAGTAACGAGAAAATACGCCGGCAATTCAATGTGTAAATAGAGGCTTAACAAGAAGTATGAAAAATGTCAGTCACCGTTTGTTTTAATGATGAATTGTATTTGCTGAAAAAGTCATTGTATCGATAATAATAATAATAATAATAAAAAAAACTTTATTTAAAGAAGGTAACCTGGTTAGTGCATGCACTATTCTTCCCCAGGGCCCTCTATACATCAATTACAAAAGATACAAGATACAATTATTCATTATATTATAGGGATTACAATCACAAATTGTGAATACAGTGTCCATGTACAGAAATATGACAATACAGAAATATGACAATCATAAACATATGCTCAAATAATTGAGCGACAGCTGATAATGTAATTTTCTACATTACGTTTAAATGCTTGTAAAGATTGAGAGAGTCTAATGTATTGTGGAAGTTTATTCCATAGATGTACACCTGAGTACTGAAAAGAGGTCTTGAATAAGTTTGTATGAGTTTGTATTAAAGGAGACTGCTGATATGCTTGTTTCATCAGCTGTTTGTCAATAACTTACCTCGTTTTAGAAATTGTTTGTAGGTTAAGCATACCTGTGTCATACTCTGGCATATCTATATATTTAATTGAGAAATATAAAACCCAATATGCAGGTGATAAGGGTACATTGGTGCATAAGTAAGGGAAGTTGACGATTGAAAAGTTTTAGGCACCATGTTTATCATTAAACTTTTTTAGTAAAAGATCCAAAAATGAAACAGATGTGTCAGACTCTGTGGAGTCGTTTATTTCAAGCTTACCGGAATATATGTATATTATGTTGACATCATAATGGAAGTAATAATTAGGGTTTTTATTTGTTTTTTTTACGTCGATACATATATATACGTCGATTGAGCTGAAGGTCAAATACTTGTAATATAAAATTTTGAACAATGAATACAAAAATAGATATGCTAGTAACTGGGCGCAATTAATATCCATGTGAATTCCAATAGATTGTTGGAAGACCTGGTCTACAAAAACCACATAGATAATGTCGTCAGAATAAAAATGGCCATGTACACGTAACACTGCTTAAAAAATCCTACATTCCCAGACGTTGCTTAAACTTGTCGCAACTTAAATTAATCTGTTTTCTTGAACTACTTTTGAATTAGAAATGTACATTTGTCCATTGCATTCAAAAATAGGATACTAGTACATTAAATTGAAAAAAAATAATAACAACAAATCTTTAAAAATATTCAGACGCATGGCTCTAACGGAAAACATAAATATAACAGGAAATATGATATACAATATTCTTTGTTAATGTTATAAAATCAGCTTTTTTCCGATATACATGAATATACTGTAAAAAAAAAAAGGGTAGAAACTAGAACAACATTAAAAGTACAATAAAAAAATTAAATTTTAAGTATAAATTATCTTATATATCTTTTTTTTTTCCTTTATGCAGGAGGAGTTTGGGAAATGAAAAAAAAAATCTTAAATAAGGTGAAATTGAATGAATTTATAGGGTTTATGAGAATTTTCAGAGCAATCTTTAGGAACCCAGCAGATTAAAAAAAAAATAAATTTAATTAAAAAAAATTGCATTATTTTCATTTAACTACGAGTCCACGCAAGTCTCAATTTGTTGACATCAATCCTGATAGTAGTGCTATTGAATATGATTATAGATCTTCCGAGGTATATCCCTTTCACATGCAACTGAGATCGCGGTCATTTAAAATCCATTGCAATTTCACCATTTCGATAATATTTAAATTCCCTTCCCCGGCATTTTCTCTGTATAAGCCTGCATGCTTGGGTCGGTAACGGATAGTATTTATAAACAAACCTTCCGTTGGCGAGGGAATCGATTTGGAAGAAAATATCTACTGCTTCATGGCGCATACAAATAAGGTATTTAGTAATATATTTCTATTTTATTATCCTATAATTAAGCACAAAGGTGCATTCGCTTTTAGTATTAAACTTTATACATTAGCACTGTTTCAAAGTTAGTACAAGTTGCGCAATACAGTTTGAAATTTCACAAAGAAGGATCAAGAACGGTTACTTATCCTATTTTACAACTAATGCTCTTCATATATTGATACAAATACAGTAGTATTCTATTTGATTCATTAACCTGCTTAACTGTTTGATTATTAAAGATTAATAAGATAAATATGGGGGAGCTTCTTAAATAAGAAAAAAACGGAAAATTAATGACTATTTTAGATTATACCTTTAACGTTTATTTAAATATCATACGAAATTATGATCTTTAGGTCTCTTTATTTCATAAAAATACTTGTGATTTGATAATAATGCTTTTAAAAATAGGCTAATATAGATTTTAAACTGTGATAGTTGTATTGAATTTATGCCATTATTTCATAACAGATAAGAAGCGGGAAATGTAAGGATGGTAAACAAGACGGAACGCTGTGGAATAAGATCGGGGAATACCATGAAAAAGAATATCAGTAGATATTACAGTTCCAGGGATGGCTACATTGAGTTTAACACATACAACAGGAATTATATTTACGGTATAGATTGTCTGGAGGATGAATTACCTGAATTGGACGACGGTTTACAAGACAATCCAGAACTAGACCAATATGGCGGTGGCTTAAACTCCTCAACCAAGGACAAAGAAGGTGTTCTGTTTTCTTTGAATAAACGGAAAAGGTGGGAATGTTCCGAAACCATCGATACTACGCCAAAGATTTGGTGGGAGGAAACATTGCGTGTAGTCGTCGTTGAGAGAAGGACAATTTTGACGTATGATGAGACGAGAATCCCACTGATACCCCCTCACTGGAACGACTGTGAAAGGTATCAGGACAGCAAAGCCCCTTTTACCGTAGTTCTACCAAATAAAGAACACGCGCCGTCCAGTTTCTCAGATCTTCGAAGAAAGTGTGTAGGGAGTGGAAAGGGAGGTAATTTATTGCCTCAAGTAAAGGAGAGAAAAAGATGGCGGCATAATCAGAAATGTCGACTAGGAATTCAACGAAAGTCGGAATTAATATCCCAGAAGCCAGCAGTCAACAATAGAAAACCATTCAAGACTAAAGAGTAGGGATACTTATATATGACTAGAAAAATATGAATTTGTCAATTTGAATCGGTTAAATAAAGAGTTAATTTACAAAAACAGAAGACAATGTTTACATAAAGAAAGTTTTTCGTTTACATTGCTCTTATTAAGAATTTTAAATGTAAATATTTAATTCACTAAGTGCGACGAAACCACATTTCAAATTTGAATAAAAGCTAAATATAAAGTAAAAAAATACTTATTTCTTGAAGAGTGGTTGACAAAGAACCACATTATGTATAATTTTATATCTTCCTTTTGTGTAGGTTGTTAGCTGGTCTGGATGGAGAAATCCCAGAAGTTAGATACACAATCACCAAGCCAACATTTTCCTCACGTTTCCGACCACAGAGGTTTTTAGAATGGATGTTTTTAAGATCCCGGGGTAATTCGATGTCTTTACAGTCTTAAACTATACTGTCCGGTCTATATCCTGAAAGGAAAACAGACAAAGTTATTAATTTATTTTGTAATTTTTAATTTACTATGGGGAGGTAACCTAGTTACTTCAAAATTTACCACATGTTAGTATAGGGTGTAGTTATAGGTTGTATACTTCATGCCTTTAGGATTCCGTTATTCTTCTTCTAGTAAAATCTTTACTAGTATTTATTCTTGTGTCTAAAAAGCGCAATATACGGGTTTGACATTAGCCATCAATGGTGTTTTTTTTTAATATCCATTTTTTTTTTAGCAAAAGCTTCAATTATTTTTTAAGAACTTCTTAATATGTACATACACATATATTCAACAGAAAATGCTTTATTTTTCGTGAAATAGAATTTTTTTTTTATTTAAATTATTTTTAGAACTTGTACGGTACTCAAATGTACGAGTAGGAAGGCAACATCTATCGAAGAAAGCTATGTCAAAACAGAAAGGATGTGTGAATGGAAGAAAGACTAAACACTGGCATATATGGAACACCAAGGACACAGAGGAGTGTTTAATGATTGGATATAACACAGTTACTTCCTCTTCAGAGTCTTACGAAGTAGATACTACAGACAACAAAGAAATGATGGTTCAGGGGACTTCTTTTCCTAATTATGGGAAACAAATAATGTCTTTAGAAAAGAAATCGACATTCGATGTGAGCATAAAGGATCTGTTGAGGAAATATGTTGAGCAAAATAATAAAAGGCCAAAGGGAAAACGGACAAGAAAAAGATTTGATCCATTTAAAGCTAAAAATAACAAAGCTGATCTTGCTGCTGGGGATCAAAGAGACCATGTTGTGTACCCGAGTGCAAAATCTGAAGATGTAAAGCGTGATGTAAATAGTGAGACCAAAGAAAATGTATCATTTACAAATGTTAATACAGAACCACAAACATTTATAAACTGTGTGATGAAAAGGTCTGAGTTCGATGATTTTATGAGAAGTAGATTTGTGCAACTTTCAGAGAGTTGCTTTCCACCCATCATATTCATTCCATTAGGTCATAATATCAACGGAAACTCCAAACATTTTACACAAGACAAACTTCCATCAGCGCTTCTGTTGCAAGAATCCACGAAATCAGTGGTGCATGATACTACACAACGCACAGGTATCTACAGGTAAGATAAGGATTCAGTATCTTTCGAATTATTTATTAATCATTTAAGAAATAAATGTCTATCTTTTTGGTTTCATGAGGTGATCAATCGAGTTGTTTGAGTGATAATTTGCATAAACGCAAAGTACCCATGATTAAAAAGAAACAGTTGATACCTTAAGTCCGCTTTAGTTGGGGTAGCTACTAGGATGTTCAAAAGTGCATAGGAATATTTTATAGACAACACATTGCCCCTGTGGAAATGCAGACAAATTGATTATTTCTTTTTCTTCAGATTGAAAATATATGCCGAAAATGAAATCTTATGGAATACATTGAATGAGAAAATAACAGCGTATCTTTCTAGCTGTGGTTCATCGCCATTTTCTCTTTGGGAATTCTACAATCTTTCAAAGAGCATAGTCAAAGAGGAACAACATTTAACAGAGGAGTGAGTGTTGAATCAACTGCGTTAACTAGTAAAAAAATAAGTCAAGAAAAAAGTGAACAAAATATTTTTCTGTAATTTCTAGGAAACCAGTCTACGTAACAAAAGTGAGCAAGCCGCTTTTTGACTGGATGACCACGGTAACGTACAGGGTATCTACTATTGACCATGTCTATAGGTCACGCTTAAATCAACTAGAACTAAAGGTATGATGGTCATCTTTTTATCTCATTAACCATAAAGAGAAAAATGTACAATTTCGAACATTCTAAGAGCTATTTTTCATCAGCCAGGATGATATATATGTTAGATGTAACGTCAAGAAGATGAGGTTAATCTACAATTTCAATTTCAGAAGGGGAAAAAGTATTTTACGGCAGACATGCACGAGGTTTATTCTATCCTCAAAATTAAACGGATTTTGTCCATTGTGACCTCTTTTTTTTACAATAACGGAAAAATACTTTGTAACCTGAAAGAAAGAAAGAAGACCTGCTTATGTAACAAATTATAAAAGTCTCTATCAATTCGGCATTTTAATGCAATAAATACAAATAAACAATAGAGTTGGCATCTATGAGTGCAAAATATTTTCTTTTCTTTGCACTTATTCAAAAAAAGTTTCAGTTAATTCGGTTTTTAAAGAAAAAATACAAATGATAAAGCGATGGCAAAAATATGTTTACCGTATACAGTACTCCTTTATTGTACTATTCATTAGGTATTCATAACTTCCTCAAGTCTTAGAACCTGATACATGTTTGCAGTCCTTTTTAAACTTTATTAAAAGTTTTATTTGGAAGGATCTTCCAATTTGTCCTCGAGTATTGCAAATCTATACATACATGAATAATTTAATTTTGTTTGTATTCTCGCCTCTCATTGGTTGTTTTCCAAAAAGGAACGCAAAACATTTTGTATAATCTGGTTTGGTATGGGGACACACCCCCTTGACGACCAGCTTAATCATCATATCCATGCAATCCCCTCATTTCCAGTCCTCGGAATCCATGGAAAATTCCAGATTTAATAAATGTACCTTCAAATCTAAACAATTACTCGTTCTTACCTCATGTAAACAAACATCATGGCTGCTAGATCTATGTATCAGTTATTACCTCCCCTCGCTTCAAATCACTTTCGTTACTACGGTTATATTATTACGCGGTAAATTTGAACTTATAAAAAGCAACACAATTTTACATCAAAAGTTGTTTAATTATTTTAAAATTAAATTATAAGGAATGACTTTAATTCTTGACCATATTATCGAGTATAATCTGGTTTGGGTCAGTTTACGCTTTTTTATAATCCGCTTCGCGGATTATAAACCGTAAACTGACCCAAACCAGATTATAATATATCGATAATATGGCCAAGAATTAGAGTCATTCCTTAAATATTGAAGCAATTCACATAGTAAAGAGTAGTACGGAATTTGACAAAAGTGTCATATAGAATTTAACTGCTTTCTTTTTCAGACTCCACACCTGCCGTATCAGATGACAAATGGAACTGGTCTGAAAACCTTCACCTGTTCTGTGTGTTTAACGTCTGTAGGAAATAGCGGTCAACACGATGGACTTCTTTTGTTACCATGTCAACACATATTTTGCAGAAACTGTGTAATTCAGTACATTGTAAACCAAATAGAGCAGGGAGCAACGGAAGTGACGTGTTTGGTAAAATCTAAATATATTTCGTGAAACTAACATCCCTTATGTGTTCTATTTTTGCTTACATAATTAGCAATTTGTTGATTTTCTGCCCTCCAGTTAGAAAAATCAAGTGTATGTCTTAAACTCCAGTGACTGGTATAGACTTCAGATGGCCATCCTTAAAGAAGTGCATCAATTTCGATAACTTTTCATGTTATAATTTTTAAGGACCCCAGTACAAGAACCTAATATGGACGGTGTACTAAAGACCGCTTATATTCACTAAGTATTTATTAACAAAGACTTTAACTGTCCTATTTAAAAACCAGAGGTCTCTGATGTCTGGACTGGTCTACGTTTAACAAAGGAAAAGTGGCACTTGGATTTGAAACTTTGCAACAAGCAGCAATAAACAGAATCATGTATATTAATGTAGTCTACTTGTGTGCCAAGTTATATTGAAATCAGACCAAAGCCGTAGAAGAAGTAGCATTTTAAAGGAATTCTACAGAAATTTCTATTTTTAGAAACCATGGCAACACCGTTCATCGAAATCCAAAACCGATGCACTAATTTATGTTTCTTGGTGTAATCTACTTTTGTGCCAAGTTATATTGAAATCAGACCAAAACTGTAGGAGGAGTAGCATTTTGAAAAATTGTTTACAGACAGACGGATGGACATTACTATCGGATAAGCTCTTCTGGTCTCGAACCAATAGAGCTAAAAATTGAAATTAGAGGGCCCATTCGATGAACACAGGGCCATTGAATATGGGGTTACCGAGTACCTTTACACGGGGAAACTTTTTAGCACTACATTTAATCCTTTTGTATTCCTTTCTACAAATATTCTACATGTAATAATGTATAAGAAGACAATCTAAGTTGTAGTAGAACTTGTGTCTTTTCCTTTTGACTTTAATTGTCAATAAAATATGTTCAATTCAATTCATGTTATATCGTCTTATTTCATTTCTAGGCAAATGACTGTGATAGTATTATAGACGAAATAATGATTTTGTACTTGGTCTCGTGCCACTTATACCGTTCTTGGAGAGAGAGGCATAGAAAGAGAATGGTTATGTCTCGCGAGATTTGGAAGTGGTGTCCAAATCTCAAATGTGGCAAGATCGTTTCTGTTTCAGGTAAGCATTAATAAGTTTTTGTATCTGTATGAGATTTTCAGTTAGACCAAGTGTATTTGATTTGTAGAACATGTATGAACGCTCTGTAATTTTATTAACTCCATTTTAGACAAAATTGCAAAGTTTGCGGGAACTGAGCGCCTTAAATCTCTGTCTGAGCGGCGGGAAGTGACGTGTGTATGTAAATCGGAATTCTGTGTTGATTGTCAACAACCTCCTCACTGGCCAGCCACCTGTCATCAAGCACGGGCCTACCACAAAATATCGGACCACGTCATAGGTATTCTCAATACCGTATATTATTAATATTAAAATAGGGCGAATGAAAAGTTCGAATTCCATTTTTGTTTGAAATTCATTCATTTTTTATTACATATCAAAAAAATTTGCATGTATGAGTTGAAAGGTACATTATATAAATGGTGCCTGTTTTGGAGAGTAACAGTTGAAATTGACACCCCAAGGAAAACCATTGTCAACCGACGCGTCAGCAGAGGTTGACAATGGTTTTCCAAGGGGTGGCAATTTCAACTGTTACCCTCCAAAACAGGCACCATTTATTTTATTATACTGAATGTCTTCTCAAATTAAATCAGCAAAAAAAAATCGTCCATCATCTTTACGTTCACGTTTAGAAAGCTTTCAAACTACTCGCTACTTCTAAAAAGATTTACTGACCTTTTTATTGTTTGTTTGATACTCTAAGAGTCTTTTATCATATAAAGTTTCGTTATTTCTGCATTCGCAAGCATGTTTCGTCTGTCGTTTGTTGTTCTCAAGTACGCTACATCGGATGCAAGATTTTAATGATGTCAAGTTTATTCCAGTTCTTTCAAACGAGCAACTGACGTTTTGAGGATTCTACGGTGAATCGTACGCGCATAATATCCACGCATGTGGCATTACCGTTGTGTTACCCGTTGCCACATGCGTTGCTAAGGCTGAGGGTAATAGAACGGATTGTTAACTGCGTCTAAACCAATCAGATTTTAGTATTTAACATGAAAGTATAATAATAAAAATTGTCACCCCAGGAAATTAAATTGTTTTATGATTAATATTGCGATGAAATTTTAAAGTTTTATTCTCATCTACAATAGTTATTATTAGTGGTATATTATACTGAGTGTTATACTATATTTGCTTTGAATATCACTCTTCAAACAATGCTCTTATTGTTATGTTTTATCATGCTTTTTGATAGTTGTTTTTTCATTCAGAACCCCATGCAGTTTAATCGTTTTTTTAAACAAGTTAACGTTTCTCGACGTAATTGAATTGTTAATTTTTTTAAAAGTGTAATATCAATATAGCACTTTTTGTAGAATTTGATGTATAAAAATGATGGATATATATTATTATATACACTGAACTAAACTTATAAGTGTTCACCTAACATTTTTTAAGTTTTAAAGAACAAATGCATACAATGAATAATTTCTTTAAATCATGGTTAATGAAGCATATTTCAGTTCGATGTTGCATAAATTTTATGTAAATATCTCGTCAGAATTTTAAGCAAAGTGTCAAGGAAATGATTTACCCTCAAAATAAAAATTCACTCAAAAAATATCTATGGAGTAAGACAACCACTCGCTATAATTTCTGCAAAACACCTTTTGCTGTTGGATACCATGTACCCCTAGGGGATTGACCCATCTGCTGCTACACCCACTAAATAGATCTTTCCAAACTATTGAAATTGAGTGGAGAGGGGAGGGGCTTTGACATTCCTTATAAAATACCAAAATGTGTTCAATTGGATTCAGATCCGTGAATTTGACAGTGCATCATAACACAGATGCCTTTTAGTCAATATCCTTGGACGTTTATCACGTAAGTGCACAGCTTAAAGGATGATTCAGACTGCTTGAGCTGATATTAGACTGTCACGAGCACTGATTCCTTTTTTCATACGATATCATTTTCATACGATTGAAATTGTTTGTTTTTATGTTTCTAAGATTGTTTCAGGACAATTTAACAGTCTTTTAAGCTGGTGTGAGGCGATAGTTTGGCCTCAGACGAAGATCGATCAAGGTCACTTCCAGTTTGGTTAAATTTTGTCCAAAACTCTCAAATTGTGTTAAATTGGCGATGAAAAATGACACACAGGCTATAGAAAATTTGTGTTTAAATGGGTTTTGATACTGGTTGTTAATTTTTAAAAGTAATATTAAGAGCAATTAAACACTAAATAAAAGTGAGTAAAACCTAGTGCAAGGATGGCCCAGATATCAACACTCCAACGGCTCTTTTGTCTATCTCAATGGTTATTTTGCCAATTTTTGTGTTTTTTTATTGAAACCATATTTAAAATTTTGATATTGATCACAAAAAGTTGCTAATTACACAAAGCACGTGCCGCAAAGTACAAATTAATTTATTTTAGCTTCGTCACGAAAAATTGGTTTTGATCGGTGATATTTTATTTTCTTTCTACAATTATTGAGAAGACTCATTTGTTGTAATAATTTGAAGATACCATACCATTCTATAAAATAGTTTTTGAATAAATACAGTTATTAAAGTGAATACTTAGAAGTTTTGTTAAGTGTATATATTTTGTAAAGCACGCTAATAACAAAGTTCCAGTGACGAAAACATTTGCTTCGTTGTAATTTTTTTTGCTTATATCCAGTTCCACATATTTTAAAGTCGAATGGAATTATTATTACTTTGCCATAACAGTTAATCATTATAAGCTTGTTCACTACGATTTTTTTTACTGTATATCTTGTTAAGTACACCTTGTAAGTTTATTATCTTCAATATGGACCTTGTAAGTTTATTATCTTCAATATGGACCAAAAATACTGAAATTAAATAATAAAAAATTATATTTCTTTCATAATAAGATGACGTAGCTATTGGTGGCGAAAGAAGTTTTCTCATCGAAGTTAAGTCATGTCCTCGATGTCAGGAGAAAATTAACAAGAATGGGGGTTGTCAGATGATGACGTGTAGGTGTGGGAACACTTTCTGCTGGTTGTGCTCAAGACCGGTGGCGGATCACAGGAAAAACGGCATATGCAGGGGTAGTTCAAAAGAGGTATGCCATAAATAATTTGTTGTAATGGACATAAAAATTTTAAAAAGAGATTATCAAGATTGAACTTTTTTTGTATCGGGTACTTTACTGGATACATTGTAAACGTATATCACCCTAAAACTCAGCTAGGTTATAAAAAAAATCGTTTGTACGCGTGTGAGATCGTTTAATTGTTCCAACATTAACTTTTGGCATTCTACTGAACTTTTATAGCGCTCCTTTATTATTTATACATGTAGCCGACCCGAATTTCCTATATTAAAACTTTTAAAAGTACTTATTTAAAAACTTGCGAAAGAAGAAAGCACATGTTATGGCCTTTGAGTTGACATTTAGATTAATTATACTTTCATGTTAAATACTAAAATCTGATTGGTTTAGACGCAGTTAACAGTCCGTTCTATTACCCTCAGCCTTAGCAACGCATGTGACAACGGGTAACACAACGGTAATGCCACATGCGTGGATATTATGTGCGTACGGTTCACCGTAGAATTCTCAAAACGTCAGTTGCGCGTTTGAAAGAACTGGAATAAACTTGACGTCAATAAAAGCTTGCGTCCGATGCAGCTTACTTGAAAACAACAAACGACAGACGAAACATGCTTGCGAGTGCAGAAATAACGAAACTTTATAAGATAAAAGACTCTTAGAGTATCAAACAAACAATAAAAAGGTCAGTAAATCTTTTTAGAAGTAGCGAGGAGTTTGAAAGCTTTCTAAACGTGAACGTAAAGATGATCGACGATTTTTTTTTTTGCTGACTTTATTTAAGAAGACATTCAGTATAATAAAATAAATGGTGCCTGTTTTGGAGGGTAACAGTTGAAATTGACACCCCTCGGAAAACCATTGTCAACCTCCGCTGACGCGTCGGTTGACAATGGTTTTCCTTGGGGTGTCAATTTCAACTGTTACCCTCCAAAACAGGCACCATTTATATGATAATAATAATAATATTATTAGATCGTATTTTTTACGACTTATTTCAAACTCGTTTTTTTGCCTTTAATTTTAGTGTGAGAAAAAATGCAATAGGCCAAGAATTATCCGTGCACAAAACATTTCCATAAGTTTTTAATAAATTAAATTGTAATTATAATTTTGATAAATAAATAGACGTCCTGAACATTTTTTTTCTTTTCTAGATGAGTACATCTATGATTTTTTTTTCGTTTCTGTATAGGTAGTGGAATTTTCAAGCAGGATCAATTACAAATTACCAACAAATTACATTGAAAAAGCAATATCTTGTCGCTTATTGCAAAGGAGACTTACGAAATGGAAACGGACAAATTTTGGACGTGTTCAGGTATAAATTCCATTCGTGAGTCTATATTGATAATTTTTACTGGGTTATAAGCAGCTACAAGATAGAACTGTGTAAAGAAGTGAATTTCTGGCATGTGATTTTTTTTAACAGTTTTTAACAGTTAACATGCATAAATTTAATGCTGAAATTTATTAGCATAAATCAATTTTGGTTCGATTACGTTGTAATAGCTGATATCGTAACAATCATTTTTAGGTTTATTTAAATTGGATATAAAGTCTACAGAAACCTTATTTCTTTTACTTGGAATACAGTACAAAATGGAAGAGGTGGATTTTGAAAAGACTGCTGAAAGACATCCTGGGAAACTACAAGATAAAGCTACTGCAAAAGTGGCCGAATTCCGGCACTTGAATTTGTTTATCAAGGTAAACAATATTGTGTTGTACAAAAGCAAAATGTGTCTTTTTTAAAGTTTTTTTTTATTATTTCAGAACTTTAAAATGAAGTATTATGTGACAGTCACATTTCAAGAGTCTTTTTGTACGTACTTTAAATATAATCCGTAGTCTAACTGGGCAACTCGTCATTGTACGGAGAATGGTATGTCGATCAGGCAGCTGGTGTACAATCCACGGTGTGTTCTTTATAAACAATAGTGAAAAAGCAAACGACTACTTGTAAGAAATAACCGTGTGGACTTAAATTGGGAAGAATGCAAATGACCTTTTTAAAAATAGAAACTTTCAAACCAATGGTACGATGTCCATTTCGTTGTAGGCAAATGTTATTTGAGTATATCAGAATAGTTCGTTTGTGATAGTCTCTTCATTATCAAGGAAGAAGATAGAAGGGGAAAAGTGGGAAATGACATTGAAAACCTTGGGATAATGTAACAATCTAAACTATGCTACACAAGATCAAATCTTGGTTTAAACCATATTTCTATTTTCTTTAGAGAAGTGGACAGGCTTTTGCCTACTTCTCTAAAAAGAGTACTACATTTCAAGTAAGTCGTTGTTCTAAGCGAAGCGCCTCTGAACCATTCCGCTCCAAGTACTAAGTATACGGGGCGGGGGTCAGAAATCATTGACATGGGAAAATGGAGTAAATAGCCTAATATGGAAAGATTGGGGATATCCAGAAACCAATAAACAATGAAGTCAAATGGCTAAAGTTCATCGCTAAGCATTCTGTAAAACCTATGCTTTTTTCTTTCAGACATTAAATCTTTTGGAGAACATTTACATCTCACTACCTCCAATATCAAATAGCTTTCAGAGCAGACGTCTAATGAAATGTGAGGAGATTGTGAATCGCGTCGACTTCATTTCAAAACGACTAGAAGAGGTACATGTATTATCTTACCATCATGAGAAGTCTGTTGAACAATATTTGCATAGTTCGAAATTCATTCATCCCACAACATACTTACATTAATAGCAAATGTCGTGCATTAATTAATTTGTTAATTGATTATTGATTAGTTCGATTTTAAATAGTATATTCTTATAACAGATCCTAAAATTGTATTCCAAGGAATTTTTTCAAGTTTTGAAAATAAAAATGTAGCAATATATACAATGAAACCCGTAATATAATTTTTAAAAATGGAGTATGTACATATGTACGTATTAACTGTATTATAATGATTCGAAAGACTTGTTTTCTTTTTTTATTATAGTTAACATGTTCATGTACAGTTATTTTTTGTATGGAACAATATAAAACTTAATTATTTTCTAATCCAAAATATATTATTTCTAATTAGATGCTGCTGGGTACAATTACACTGAAGGATTGCCAAAAAATCAAAACATATCAGAATCTACTCTCAGATAAATTGTGCGATCTGTGTCTACTTTCTATTTGGATCAGGAAGGAGCTACGAGCCACGGATCAGTGGAGGGACTGGGCGGAAGACTCTAATTTGTCTCTATTAACACGGGCTTCCCATGAAGTCCGACGTTCTATCACCAGAAAAGGCAGCTCTACATAAGATTTCTACATGACATTTGTATATACCCCGATCAACATGTATTTTCTACTGAAAAATGATATTCAAGAGAAGCATTTTCATTTTTGGAGGCACTGCTGCATTCGCTTAAAGGGGGCCTTTGTTTAGTCTAGTCAAAATCAAATATATGTAACTATTATTTATTTCATTCACAACTTATCATAAAGCATTCAGACTATTTCAATAATCCAGTAATGCTTGCCCCTTTATGAGCATTACAATAAAATGTGAGAACAATTGAGATATCTGTGATTAACTAGTGTAAAGGTTCATTTGAAATTGTAATCAGAAACATTACAGTGTCTGTTTTTGTTTATTTAAAATTATTTATTACTTATTAATGTACATGTTTTATACCCCACTGTCCCGTTTTTCGATGTTTGCATATATTTGCTTTTTTTTTTACTTATACAATTTTAAAAATGCAACTGTTTTGTAATTTTATTCCTTAAATCCATAATTGTATGGCATAAAATTTCTTTTTATGTTTAACACATGTAACATGATAAAAAAGATAATAACAATCCAGCTACATACATGTAACATTAAACATTATATAGGTCCCTGATCATATTGATCAAAGATTTATTTAACAATCATACTCATTTTGTTAAAATCAGTAAATATTCAAGTGAAATTAATATACTCTTTGGGGTTCCTGAAAAAAATTGGTTAATAATAATGTTTAAACGTTGTATTTGTATATTTTCGGATAATTCTTGAATTGATAATAAAAAGCAGATATAATGCATCTCAAAGAACAATATAATAAAGTAACAACAAAGTATTTTCTATGACTAAATAAATCACTTTTATGGACTGCAGCAGTACCACTAGACCCCTCTTTTTCCAAAACAGGAAATCATTATCTCCATTCATTTTTTATATAATTATTTTTTTTAAAAGATGGGAAAGAAAAAAGCTTTTGACACAGTCAAATAACAAATATATTTCATTCCATTGGAAGAAATGAAAATAAAATCATTAAATATGATGACAGATCATTTAATAACAATCACATTTCTGTTGCAAAACATATCCCTAAAAATAACTCCTCCTCTCAAATGTACATTTTTTACAGCCCAGACTAATATAAACTTTTCCTGCTAGATATTTACTGTAGACCCCCCATACAAACGTATTTTATCTCCAGATACTCCTCAATACCATAACGTCCCCCCTCTCTTCCTAGGCCCGACTCCTTCCACCCCCCAAACGGTGCGTCAGGGACAGAAAGGACCCCCTCATTGACCCCCACAATGCCCGACTCCAGACGCTCGGCAACTCTCCATATCTGGCTAAGGTCTCGGGAGTAGAAGTAACCTAAATATAAAGAAACAAGTTGTTATATTATTTTTCTCATTTATTCCAAGCTCTCTGATTGGCCCAAACTTGATTATATGATCAAGTATATAACATCATAAAGACTTGTGTTACTAATTATAGATTCTGAAATACATATCGACTTGATGTTTCTAAAAACGGAAAATTAATAATTTCTGTAAGAAACAGATAATGCAGAAAAGAAAAATAAACTTGAACTTCCATTTATATTTCTGATGTTCCGTAATACAGTAATTGGTAAGACGTAACAGTGCCTTGAATAAGGATATATTTTATATTAAAATATATTAGGGATAATTTTTTTTTCAAAAATCAGTACAAAACATTATAAAACAAATGCACCTTTTAAATTATTCAATTCCCTAAATTACTCTATCAATATAAAGGAAAAACAATTACATAAAACAGCCTAAATTAATTTTGATCTATAGCCTCTAAGTGTTTAAAAAGACAAGAGAAAAACTTATGGCTTGTTCCCATTATCTTCTAATTTTTTTCACTTTCTATAAAAAATAATATATTAACAAGTGAAGCCCTTTAATTCGGTCAATCCATAGATATATCGACTTCACAGAAAAGCATATCTGATATGCTTTTCTGTGAAGTCGATATATCTATGAATAGACCTCATCAAAGGGATATATTTATATAATGGTAACAGAAAATTCAGATTTTCCTGTTTACCTTCATATTTCAGCTATAAGCTTTGATTTGGTAATTATTACATAGTTTTTTTTAATCAATTCTCACCTGCTAGCCCAGATGTTGTAGCATTTGCTAGACCAACTACTTCCTCTTCAGTTTTAAACCTTTAAAAATATTTTAAATGCATAAAAAGAGAGAGAGAGCTCCTCAATATTATTAAATAAATAGAACTACAAAACATAGTGAGAAACTAAGAATGCATGTGAAAATGTACTTTGTTGATGGATTTGGACTTTAATATAGAATTATTATAAATAATTTGCACCTCCTTTGAAGAAATAATGAGGTGTTAACTTGTCCTGATAACTGAACCAGGTTCTGTTTTGAGAATAAAAGTACATGCCTCAATGTGAAGGCGTTTATGAAGATACAAAATAAGACTGAACTTAGTTATATCACATAATTTGTTATGCCCATCAGTTATTTGCCCTATTGTTCACAGTGTACTTTGATGTGTTTCAATTTGACAATAACACTAATAAAGGGCCCCCTGATAATCAGGATGTAGCTCAAAAGACCCCAAATAATAGAATGTGTCACTTATCAGAGACATACCTGATGATGCCAGCGATCGGTCCAAATATTTCCTCTTTAGCACATCTCATATCATTGGTGACTCCTGTTAGAATGGTTGGCTCGAAAAAGTTACCTCCCTTGCTTTTCCCGCCACATACGACCTTTGCCCCTTTACTGACAGCATCCTGAACATGAGCCTCGATCTGGATTCAGTTAAAACAATACATTAGACTGCATACTGAGGTTTATTCATAATATATTGAGGATTTGATATGCTGTTGGCCCTTAGTAATCTTTAACTCCAATATTTAGAGAATATGTGAAAGTCATTTAGGACTCAATATAACTTTTTTATCTATGTAATTTATCCCCTATAACTCGAATCCTAAAAGAAAAATACATATAAATAAATAAATATTAAATTGATTATTTATACAACCCAGCTTTGAATCCTGGTCATGGCACCAGTTTTGTTTCAGAACAGGAGAAAATATGGCTGAACTGGAAATCCAACACGGGACCCCTATATCACTAGCCAAACGCTCTACTGACTGAGTTACCCAGATTAATATTTATGACCCAAACCATTACATTTACATCTTAGGAAGGATGTTTGAGTGGACACTTGATTCACCCTACCTTTTCGACAGCCTTCTTGTTGATAAGAGGACCCTGGGTTGTAGCAGGATCGATCCCATCTCCCACCTTTAAGTCCTTCTCTACTACGGCTGCCATCTTCTTAACAAATTCATCATAAATACTCTCATGGACGAAAATTCTGTTGGCACAGACACAAGTCTACAACAAAAGCAGAATATACATCTGTCATCTGTATTAACAGATGAGTGTAAAAACCTATTCCCTTTCTTTGTTAAAATTCAAATTAAGATAAATATTTCATTCTACAATAGCATGACTATTTCTTTTTTAAATTTTCCCCTTGTCCTTTAAATACTTAACACTAAAATACTGGAATGTTATCTGTAGGTTGACACATTCTAGAATTATTGGTCATTCAGAGGTGTTGTGCAATGAAGGGAAAAATAAAAATTGATTTCTACAGCTAATAAGGCAAATATATTCTGAAGCAATCTGAAACATATTAGGCACTGATGATCACCATAGGGTATAAAACAACCAAGAGTTACCTGTCCAGAACACCTGAATTTTGCTCCTATGGCTCCTTGAACTGCTGCGTCCACATCTGCACTCTCAAACACGATAAATGGTGCATTACCCCCCAACTCCAGGGAGACCTTCTTTACTGTGGAGGCACACTGCTGGAGTAGTAGCTGCAAAAATGGGGAAATAACAGATTACATTTAAAACATTTGAAAAGTCAACTAAACAAGAACTGCAATCGTGCATAAAACTTAGTTATACTTTTCATATATTGTTTAGACTTTTTATTCTTTAAAAAATTTGCTTTGAATTCCTTTTCTTGTCCATCACAAGGTAGGGACTCATGTAAAAAAAAAACACTTTGTTATCATGACTGTTCAAGCTCCTTGACCTAAATTCTATTCATTACCTTGCCCACAAAAGTTGATCCAGTAAATGACATTTTGGTCACTAGAGGGCTCTCACATATGGTTTTTCCAACCTGGGCAGCATTGTTACGGGAACTGGTAACAACATTGAGCACACCTGCTGGAATTCCAGCCTCCTTGGCCAACTGTAAGAAATATACAAAGCTGTCAAAGAGGTCTATATATATGTTAATAATTTTTTTTTCGAATTATTCCTCTACTTGATCGACGTTATTATTGTATCAGTCCAATATGCCAGTCCATTTTCTTTCTCTTACTGAACAAGTGATCATAATGATTACCATAATCTGGTGAAAAGGTAGAATTCATATGGCTGATTTATATGTATATTAGATAATTACATCATCAACTGCATACGACAGGAGACCCAGAACAGGTCAGATGTTAAATAACTGGTTCCCTTACTTAACATCAAAGAAAGCCAGTGCTGAATACAGCATGTAAATTGGTTCCCCTGCTTACATCACACAGCCAGTGCAGAGAACCAGAGCAGGTCAGATGTTAACTGGTTCCCCTACTTACATCACAGAGGGCCACCAGTTCTAAGTACGGCATTTTAACTGGTTCCCGTACTTACATCACAGAGAGCCAGTGCTGAGTACGGCATTTTAACTGATTCCCCTACTTACATCACAGAGGGCCAGTGCTGAGTATGGTGTGTCCTCTGCTGGTTTCAGTACCACGGTACAACCTGCTGCTATGGCTGCACCTGCCTTTCTAGTGATCATGGCATTGGGGAAATTCCACTGCAAAGAATGCATAAGATTTATATTTTACATTATTCAATATATAACATGGTTAATACATGTATATAATAATATGTTATCAATATAATTATATGTTTCAGTATATGTTACAAGTATTTTACCTGCTTAAAATTTTTTACATTTGACAAATTATCAGTAATTCTCCCAATACAGTAGATTGATTTATTATGAGCCAGAACTTTGTTAACTTTGAATCTTAATCCATAACTCTTGTTTTACAAAATATTTTATCAGTATTAATTACAATACTGTGAAAAAAAAATTAATTATTACATAATGAATTCCATAATAAATTGAGATTATAATGTTCATCTTAGTCATATACTGTAAATCCCCCACACCCCCATCTCAAATTAAATGAAATCCTGTACTCCATTATAATTATGTTATGGGGCATCTCTACCGACTCAGCTTATCATTATCTATTTCTTCAAAATCAAATAAATGCTTTTTAAGATTTCTTTTCATACCTTCCAATAAAATTCAGACCATTTTGTGGCTCAAGCTTATAATTGAAGGTGCAATAAGATGAAAAACTTAAATGTACAGGTCTTTGGATGCTGCATATTAATCTGAAAAAACTGTTATTTAGCCCTCTTGCTTTATAAAAAGATTTTATCAAAAACAAACAATTCCTCATTTTTTTTACACCCTAATGCCATGGGTCATGTTGAAAACCATCTTGATTGTTCACTACATAAAGACATGCTTTCAATATACTGTAATTGCATTTTCTTGCTAAATTGTTTTTGAGGAAAACATTTATATATTTCACCACTCTAAATAGATTTTCACTGTCTCAGATGAAACATATATTGCACTATTAATATTATTTTTATCTTCTACAAGGTCATGTAATTTTACAAGAAAGAAATGAAATATCCAAAATATGGCAATAAAAAAAGTTTACTGGTGTAATCATTCCAGAAACTCCGATTGGCTGCTTCAGGACAAGAAGTCGCCGTGATTTGATGTGAGTCTGAATTATATTCCCTTCCACACGCTTACACTCTTCGGCAAATAATTCCAAAAATCCACCTCCATAAGTTATCTCCCCTTTGGCCTCAGCAAGAGGTTTTCCCTGCACAGATAAATCATTAATTTAAATGCAATTATTTTAACTCAATATGTCTCATTAACTCTTCATTTCCAAACTATTAAAAAAATTAACATTAAATATTCAAAAGTGTTACATGTATATGCAAGGGTGCATAAATTAAATAAAATTTTAAAAAGACATTTCTTGATCATCTTTCATTCCATAATGCATTGTTATTCTGCAATGGTTTGTCAAAGTGTTAGTAATTTTAAAAAGATTATTATGGATGTATACTGCCAATATAAGAAATCCACATAGGATTGCTCAGAAATTATGATCTGAATCCATGGAATTGTGAACCTGAAAAGAAAGTATTTTAACAGTAAGCTTAAATGTGTGACTGGGTAAAAAGAACCTACCATCTCTGAGGTGAGAAGCTTAGCTAATTCATCAATGTTCTCACTGACCAAATTTGCCCATTTTCTCAGCAAAATGCTCCTCTCCTGAAGTTCATAAAACATAAAATCACATAATAAAAATGTATCAAAAACATTTCATTTAATACAAGTAGAATGTAGCTTATATAAAATGTATACATGACATATACACTTGTATGCATCATTCTCTTCTATCGACCAAAATCACCACTATACGTATGTACCTTAATGCATCAAAATAGAAGATCGAACAAATATTTCATAGATTTCCTTTTAATTTTTTTAACACCAAGGGCAATCATCGTGCAGAGAAAAAAGTCTACAAACTTTTTGAATAGCCTTCGTATATATGTTAAATACTTTTAATGTTATCTTACTTTTGCGGTAGTTTCCTTCCAGCTCTGGAATGCTTTGTAAGCCACTTTGATGGCTCTGTCGGTGTCTGTGGCATCCATATCTGGCACGGAGCCGATAACTTTACCATTAGCAGGGTTCACAACTGAATTAAAGTCACGTTATAATTGTTAGCAAAGGCATTCACCATCACTTGCTTAACAATTAACTTTCAATGAAAGCTATATATTTAAATTGTGTACTTTCACTAGATACTAGATGGGCATCTCTAAATCAGATAGAGGTAAAAATAAAAAAAAAATTAATCAAGAATTTGTTGAGCTTAATCAATACAATTTACCAGAAATTACATGTGTATCTACAAGTATGTGTCAATCTTTTTGTTTATTGTAACTTAATTTCACTGTTAAGAAGCATCCAGTAGTGTATACATTACACCAGTTTCTAGTAAAAAATAAAGAAAAAGAAATGTACACTACATTTATGTTATGTCAGTTCCATTTTACTGCAATTCCATCAACACTATCTTTCTGTGAAAAAAATCCTACTTTTCCTTGATTACAATATTGGCTTTTCCATGACTTTTAAAGTCTTATTATAGTTTCATGTATTAAATCTTTCAATGTGTGTGTTCCTGGCCTCTACTAGCTAGTTAAACCTGTTGACCAATGGTCAATGCATTTACTCTTTGTTGGCTCTGGAAATCCTTTTAATGAGGTCTAACTTTCCTTACACAGTTATACCAACCTTCAAATGTTTTGCCACTACTGGCTGCTGCCCATTCTCCATTGATGAAGGCTTTATCACATACAAAGGAACTGGCAGGTCTCGCTCCTGGTTTAGGTGGGGCTAAATTGTCCATAGGTTTTTGAAAGGATGAAAATACTCGATGCCTTGATGTTGAGGAGAAAACTCTTAGTATTGCCAGGATCGGCTAAAAAATAAATAACTTAAATAATATAATAAACACCAGCATGATTTATTAGAATTAGAACATTTCTAATCATTTCCCTCAACACTAATTTAGAAATAAAAATATGCAACGATTCATATTTATAATATATATGATTTTGTTTTAATATAAAACTTGAATGGCACATGGATTTTCATCAATATGTACTAATGTAGCAAATATAGTTTTCACAAAAGGTTACTTAAGACAGTCTTTAAACCCGATGATTTGGTAAGATTGTCTCAAGTCCTGTGACTCACTGTGCTATATACAGATATATACACTGTACACTGTACAGATACTTTTTTCATTATGAGACGAATGCAAGTCGTGACAACACAAAAATGGAAATGCATACGTAAAAACATGTTTTCAATTTAGAAAAAGTATTAACTACGAGCTTTAAATCATTATTTTATACCATTTTCTATCTTTTAACACTCCAGAACGTACTAAATTACAGTCCCTGTCGAGTTTCTACTTTCACTTTCGACAGTTCATAGTTCGAACCTGTTCGAGTTATACCCTTTTGCATACTAAAACATAGGTCCGCGACACGAATGAGACAAACTCAAATACATCTAATTGTTTGTTAATCGTTTTCGACATCGTAATTGAATATATTTAAAATTGGTGCTTTTCATGAAAAAATACAGAAAAAAGAAGACAGGAAATACGAAACATGATAGTGACAGTTACATTTGACGGTTAGATAATTATCATACGTGTATGTACATTAATTATACTCATTTACTGACAGCTAAGAGAGAGAAAATCAAATCACGCTCACTTGTTACAAAACTGTTGTATTTAATTCATATAAACAGCGGACATGGATTATAAGCCAGCCATTCTTAACTTCTTGAGATTACCTTCCACGCGTGACAGTGTAATGGCAATGAATATGTAATGAGATAAGTGAAAAAGTGGGTTATTTTACCTGCTGGAAATGGATTGTATTCTAATACATGTCATATATTTGCATTAGGGCCTATGTCATGCATATGGCGGCAGGCCAAATGATTGAATAGTTGCCATGGTGATCTGCAAAACTGCGAGAGGTTCGGTGATGACGGTGGTAACAGCTACAGTAGGACTGTCGGTATACCCCTCATCGTCTCAAGCCACGGTCCGAAGTCCGCATATATATCTATGGGAGAGGATCATATGGCCGTGGTTTGCGAGCCGACGATGTACACCACTCAGGGTGTATGATAGTTATGCAAATGAAATGATAGAGTGTGAGTTACAACGCACTTTGAAAAGTTACGCACTTTCAAACAAAAAATATTTCTTTTCAAAATGCGTTAATATAATTGTATGGCACGCCAAATTCACAAAAATGAGATAATCATAGTTTCACAATTGATAAACTAGGTTTATCGACTGTAAACTATAGTTTACAAACCGTAAACTATAGTTAACGCTTTGTTAAGTATAGTTTTCATCTGTAAAACTATATTTAACGGTTGTTAACTATAGTTTACGAATGTTAATTTAAGTTTATCTGTCTGTTACAGCGTTAACAATAGATTTTGTTGATAAACATAGATTCACGTTTGTTAACTATAGTTTACAATCGTAAACTATAGTTAAGAGTTGTTAATCATAGTTTCACAAATTGTGAAACTATATTTATCAGATCGTTAACTATAGTTAACGGTTTGTAAACTATAGTATACAAATCGTGAAACTGTATTAATCAGATAATCTATGTTTTGCAATTGCAAATGATTGTTTTCGGTGTTAAGTATAGTTTACGGTGTGAAACATAGATTATCGCGTTAACTATGGTTTACAGATGTGAAATATAGATTAACATTGTTAACTATAGTTTACGGTTTGTAAACTATAATTTACAACCGATAAACCTAGTTTATCGATTGTGAAACTATGATTATCTCATTTTTGTGAATTTGGCGTGCCATAGTATTGACTATATTAAAGCTGACATGAACTCTTAAAAAGCCATCATTTTTCATCTTTGTACGTACGACTTACTAAATTCCTGTACGCCTTTGTCCGCCATATTTCTTTGATTCCGCCATATTTAATTGAATATTTTTGGTCACCTGTACCTGCTATATATAGCCTTGTACAATTGTTTCACCTGAGTGATTTTCTAGCCTGGCTGTCGACATGTGCACATCTCCGATGGCATAGCTTTTAGAAGTCCATAAACTGACCAAATAAATGTTTACATGTTTGAAAAGTAAAAATTCAACAAAAAATAGAACTATACCGAAAATTAAATTATTTTTGAATGCATTTGCTGCAATATAGAAAATACACTAACACGGTATACATTCTTGTATAGCAAAAATCCCTGCAGGTCAAGAAAACTCGCCAAACGCAGTGATAAAAACATTTACCTGAATACTGCTATCGAAGCAGGGATGTGCACATGTCGAGAGAATTATCCCTTTTTACTTTTATTGAAAAATGCATCTCAGAAGTCATGTAATCCATTGCTAACTCCACAGTAAAAGATGCTTGGACACACGTGGCCCATGCCGATCATTTTATTTGGTCAGGGAAAATATCAAAGGTTGAAAGCTCAGTGGGGTTGATTGAAAAAAATGCAAGTAATTTTTTTTCAAAAATAAAAATTACTCTTGTCTGTAAATGTTGTAAATAAAATTTATGTTTACATGGTTTAACTTCATCAAATTTATTATAAAGCATGCAATATTACGAATAATTCACCTTTTGAAGATATTTTCCTGTGATAGGAGGGGGAGGGGGTAATAAAACATGCATAACACTCTCATAAAAATAATTTAAGAAAAACGTCTGAAACAGATTGGATTTCTTTATGATCAATTATTATCAAATAAATACTGTGTATTGGCTTTATTAGACCTAATATAATTTGATTTAAAGTTATTTATAATTTTATGCGCAATGATAGAAAAAGTGTGCAAGATCACATACCCCACTCTCCCCCAAAAGTCGAAGTGCTGAAATTCCCAGAAAAAAAATAAAGGAATCGTAATTTCCTTGTAATATGCACATCTATATACACATTGTGTCCTAAATATCTGCAAAGTTTGACGAAAATGTGCAGCGGTTTATGAGGAATTGCGCTGACAAACTGCTCAGCTCTATATTCAAGATATGGCCAAAATCTAAATGTAACAGTGCGGAAACTCCCGAAAAAATAAAGAATTAAAAAAGGACTGACTGACGGGTCAAAAACATTATACCTCATGCAACTTGTTGAGAGGGGTATATTAAACGAGTTTTATTCTGTGGTACAATGATAATGAAAATGGAATTAATGTAAATTAAATTTCTAGACATAATAATTAATGATTATTAGAAAAAAGCATATAGGAAGAGAGAGCAAACTCCCCGTGAGAATTCCACATTCTACCTACAATATAAGCTTTTTTAAAAATTCTTTTGTCTGTTGTCCAGGTCCAGGTTCCTTTGAGAAGGTATTTGAGAAAGTTCCCAATGTTCCCATTCCTTTTATGTATATTTCACGTTTATTATATCCCCCGCTTGAAAAGTGGGAGGGTATATAGTAATCGTTATGTCCGTCCGTCTGTCTGTTACGCTTTGGGGTACCCATCTCTTATCCGCAAATCCTCTTATACCACGTAGTCTGACTTAATGAAATTTAATGAAACTTTTATTACATATTACCATTGTGCACCTCCCATTTTACTTTTTGATCCGACACGTATTTTGGGTTTAGCGACAACAGCAAAATATGGACTTTGCCATTATAACCATATGGGAGGAGGGGTTTCATTTAGTGAGCTCACAATACCTCTAGTTTCTCTTTCAATTTGGGCGTCTGGGTTAATTTCTTGTCCAAGGTAAAATTATTATTCAATTTATGAAGTTTCGACATCCCGTCTAAAAAAAATCCTTGATCTGTTCTAAGGCTTAATAAATGGTACAGCACAAAGTGCGTAGGATTTTACACCTATTATTGCCCTAATGGATGGTTACAGAGAGAGAGAGAGAGAGAGAGAGAGAGAGAGAGAGAGAGAGAGAGAGAGAGAGAGAGAGAGAGAGAGAGAGAGAGAGAGAGAGACACACAAACACACACACACACACAGAGAGAGAGAGAGAGTTAGTTCAATATACAAAAGAGCAATTAAAAATTATCCGTATTCAACCAGTGTCAAGTATCCCTACCCTAGCTTTTAAAATTATCTCCCAAATACTCCTACAGAAATTATTTTTATACAAAAAAAAGCTAGACTATCGGGCTGCGATACTGAAATCTCGAAAGACTTCCTGTAACAACATAATTATAAAACAGTCACATTCCTCAAAATGCACATACTTTGTGGTCGGAGTGATACATTTTAAAAAAATCTCGAAATTGAATTCGGCAGAAATGTCTGTCTTCCAAGAATATTTAAATAACGGTCATGTCAATTATTCTTTCACGCCCCCCCCCCCCCCCCCGCCTAAAAAATTCAAATGCCTAAATGTCAATCTGCACAGTGGATGGCCTTTATCCACGTGTGTGTGTTTAAGAACGTATAGTTGTACACATAAAAAATTGTATTTTGGTTAATAGCTTTTACGATTTGAAGTAAATAATTACCATACATCAAATTACTTAGTTTAGATTTGAGATTAGTATTAAAATAATCAGTTGCGACGCAAACCAGCTGCAGACTATACACATGATTTTTATAGAATGTAAATTAGAACTACATGTAGAAAGCCAATTCACAATTATAGCTTATGAACAGCAGTTGTAATACTTTACCCCCCCCCCCTTTCAGCCGCGCAAATACCAAATAACTTCTCTTTCCACTTATGATATTTTCCCTGATCAAGATCTGATCAGCACGGACTAAGTGTATCGACGTGCTAGTCTGTACGGAGTAATGACGGTGTGTTTACTATTGAGCTTTTATGGAGTTTATTTCTTTTTAGTGATGCATATTTCAATAAATGGAATTCAAGGTGAATATCACTTGACTTGTGCACATCTTCGAACCGATGCAGTAACCTTATTACCAGGTATGGGTACGTTTACAGCGTTCGAGGAGTTTTTCTCGATATGCATCAATTGCAAAGGACCTGCAAATCAAAGACGTTGGTTATTATTTTTTTCCATTCAAATGATATAATTTCAAAATGTATTTGCAGATTTTACTGCTTTTTATTTCAAGTTTATTCTGCACAAATTGGCGCACTGTAAAAATACATACTAATGCATCTTAATTTCTCTTCCAAACTTGCATTTTTTTTCCCTTTCATTCAAATCAATAATCATTCAGAAATATGATTATTATGTTGTTTATTTTGGTTATCAAATGTCTTGATCACCTGGTGTTCTCATACATGTATGCTTTACCATCGAAGATGTGCACAAGTCGATACCCAAGCCTAAAAATCATTCAAGTGTAACGAGCGCATTGGGGTATATATCGTTACAATGAGACAAGGTATCTGAAAGAAATATGGCGGAATACAGCTATAGTTGGTATGAAGAAAGTCGT